GCGTTAATGTGTGTAACTGTGTGACCAACTTCCATAACGTTAAAGTAACTGTGTGACTACCTCTCATAGCGTTAATGTGTGTAACTGTGTGACCACCTCCCATAGCGTTAATGTGTGTAACTGTGTGACCACCTCCCATAACGTTAATGTAACTGTGTGACAACCTCCCATAGCGTTAATGTGTGTAACTGTGTGATCAACTCCCATAGCGTTAATGTGTGTAACTGTGTGACCACCTCCCATAGCGTTAATGTGTGTAACTGTGTGACCAACTTCCATAACGTTAGTGTAACTGTGTGACTACCTCCCATAGCGTTAATGTGTGTAACTGTGTGACCACCTCCCATAATTTAGGAACTCCACTACAGGAAGTAACTACCTCGCCCAGAAACCTACACATGTAAGACCTGGATAATACTTGCCACGGGCGCCGTACGATAAAATAGTCTACGATTATCGTGGGTGACTGCGGGCTACGACGTTTCTGTTCACATTGTCTACGGGCATCGTGCGATTTCCTTGGGGAGAGGTAGAGGCAAACCTGAATAGAGGCTGCACAGAAACCGTACGAAGATCTTACGGAGATCGTGCTGTTTTCGTGCAGTCTCCGCAGCTACTGCATGGACATCGTACGGAGCCCGTGCGGAGGCTGAGAGGAGATCGTACGGTGATCGTGCAGTTGCCGTGCGGTTTTTGAGTGGTATTAACGGCATCTTCTTCTTTGGCGTCTTGGACCTTTCTCATGAAATGAGACAAATGATAGAACTGCAAGGGATTGCCAATGTATATACCCATGGTAAAAATGATTTGTTCATCGCAAGGCTGGCTCGACCATCCTGGGGTTGGGGAGGACCGACAATGTCCATGCGATTCCACGGATATTTTGCGGATATCCCACGATCCTACGATCGCCGTACGATTTTTTTAAACTAAAAAATCGTGCGGCCTCCGAGCGGTGTCCGTGCAGTGCCCGTGTCGTGCAACCTACGGGCTACGGCTTACGGTTTTTGTATTTCAAATTTATCAAACTTCGCTGGTTGACAAAATTGAAGAGGCTACGGCGCCCGTAGAATCGTGCGATAATCGTACGGGCGCCGCCTGCCGCAGCAGTACGACCGTACGGAAATGGAGCTACGGGCAGTTTACGAGTGCGGCGTAGACCCATCGCAGGCCAAATGTGAACCAAGCATTACGTAGTTACATACCACACTAAACAAGTATAACTTTGTAACAACCCTCCCATAACGTACATGTGTAACATAGTTTCAAACCACACGGAACATGTTTTACTTTGACAAACCTCAACAAATGTAACGTATAGTGTCCTCGCACAACCGTACGACCCTCCCCAAACGTGCAGATTTGCCTCAGTGGTGGTCCTACCCAGGACGGGGTACCTGTCCCAACATGGATAACTCAGTGGCGGTCCTACTCAAATGTTCATAACCAGGCGGTGTGCCTATTCTAACATGGATAACTCAGTGGCGGTCCTACCCAAATGTACATAACTATCCGGTGTGCCTATTCTAACCTGGATAATTCAGTGGCGGTCCTTGTCCGAGAGAAATACCATGGAAATCACTTAGTAGCGTTCCTATCTAAACGTAGAAACCGTCTTTACACGAAAGCTTCATCTGATTGTCAATACCTTAGCAGTCCTATACCAGGAAAGAAACTCGGTAACCTACTCTTTTCAAAATGTCGTCATTGATTATTGATAACTGGCAGAAATTACCTCGTGGCGTCTCTTTTTCTCCTTTCGCTGGTTACTCTTAGTACCGTAGTGGCGTCTCTACCCAACGTATGTAACTTGTTGACTTCCATACCTGGCAGAAAGTCACCTCGTGGCGTCTCTACCCAACGTATGTAACTTGTTGACGTCCCTACGTGATAGAAGTCACCTCGTGGCGTCTCTACTCAACGTATGTAACTTGTTGACGTCCCTACCTGGCAGAAAGTCACCTCTACCTACCCAACGTATGTAACTTGTTGACGTCCCTACCTTGCAGAAAGTCACCAAGTCACCATGTAACTTGTTGACGTCTCTACCCAACGTCTCTACCCAACGTGTGTAACTTGTTGACGTCCCTACCTGGCAGAAAGTCACCATGTGGCGTCTCTACCCAACGTGTGTAACTTGTTGACGTCCCTACCTGGCAAAAGTCACCATGTGACGTCTCTACTCAACGTAAGTAACTTGTTGACGTCCCTACCTGGCAGAAAGTCACTAAGTGGTGTCTCTACTCAACGTATGAAACTTGTTGACGTCCCTACCTGGCAGAAAGTCTCTACCCAACGTATGAAAACTTGTTGACGTCCCTACCTGGCAGAAGGTCACCATGTGGCGTCTCTACCCAACGTATGAAACTTGTTGACGTCCCTACCTGGCAGAAAGTCACCATGTGGCGTCTCTACCCAACGTGTGTAACTTGTTGACGTCCCTACCTGGCAGAAAGTCACCATGTGGCGTCTCTACCCAACGTATGTAACTTGTTGACGTCTTTACCTGGCAGAAAGTCACCATGTGACGTCTCTACCCAACGTATGAAACTTGTTGACGTCCCTACCTGGCAGAAAGTCACCATGTGGCGTCTCTACCCAACGTATGTAACTTGTTGACGTCCCTACCTGGCAGAAAGTCACCATGTGACGTCTCTACCCAACGTATGTAACTTGGCGGCGTCCCTACCTGGCAGAAAGTCACCTCGTGGCGTCTCTTCCCAATGTATGTAACTTGTTGACGTCCCTACCTGATAGAAAGTCACCTCGTGGCGTCTCTACCCAACGTATGTAACTTGTTGACGTCCCTACCTGACAGAAAGTCACCTCGTGGCGTCTCTACCCAACGTGTGTAACTTGGCGGCGTCCCTACCTGACAGAAAGTCACCTCGTGGCGTCTCTACCCAACGTATGTAACTTGTTGACGTCCCTACCTGATAGAAAGTCACCATGTGGCGTCTCTACCCAACGTATGTAACTTGTTGATGTCCCTACCTGACAGAAAGTCACCTCGTGGCGTCTCTACCCAACGTATGTAACTTGTTGACGTCCCTACCTGATAAAAAGTCCCCAAGTGGCGTCTCTACCCAACGTATGTAACTTGTTGACGTCCCTACCTGATAGAAAGTCACCATGTGGCGTCTCTACCCAACGTATGTAACTTGTTGATGTCCCTACCTGACAGAAAGTCACCTCGTGGCGTCTCTACCCAACGTATGTAACTTGTTGACGTCCCTACCTGATAAAGTCACCAGAGAGTCACCTCGTGGCGTCTCTACCCAACGTATGTAACTTGTTGACGTCCATACCTGGCAGAAAGTCACCTCGTGGCCTCGTGGCGTCTCTACCCAACGTATGTAACTTGGCGGCGTCCCTACCTGGCAGAAAGTCACCTCGTGGCGTCTCTACCCAACGTATGTAACTTGGCGGCGTCCCTACCTGATAGAAAGTCACCTCGTGGCGTCTCTACCCAACGTATGTAACTTGTTGACATCCCTACCCGACCTGATAGAAGAAAGTCACCACCCAAGTGGCGTCTCTACCCAACGTATGTAACTTGGCAGCGTCCCTAACGTCTCTACCCAAGAAAGTCACCAAAGTGGCAAGTGGCGTCTCTCTACCCAAAGTATGTAACTTGTTGACATCCCCACCTGATAGAAAGTCACCTCGTGGCGTCTCCATCCAACGTATGTAACTTGCTTACGTCCCTACCTGATATAAAGTCACCAAGTGGCGTCTCTACCCAACGTATCTAACTTGGCGGCGTCCCTACCTGACAGAAAATAAGTCACCTCGTGGCGTCTCTACCCAACGTATGTAACTTGGCGGCGTCCCTACCTGACAGAATGTCACCTCGTGGCGTCTCTACCGAACATATACATGTATCTTGGTGGTAGACCTTCCGGTTTTACTGTGATATTGGCAGCACCAGGCACATCACACAAGGTACCACAGTCCTCTTTTCGGTGGACTCATTCTAAACACTAACACATGACACACAATCCTGCTTTAATAAATTCGTGACCAGGGTTCCACCTGTTTCGCACACCAAGCGTCGCGCTTCAATTATCCAACTTCAAGAACGGTAGTTACAACATACAATCAAGAGTTTCGCTCCACGCATGCATATAATTGGCTTATATCTCAACACCAATACATTCCCACGCGGCATGCATATTCCTTGCATGTATTGTTGACGGTTGAGTCAGCCAGGGTAGACGCTCCATTGCCGCGTCTGCAGTCAACACAGACCAACCTGTTGACTGCTTCAAACGTCGCCATTAAACAAACACCTCCGTCAACAGATACAGCCGCCACATTAAAATATTTCTTTTACGATAAATGTTTTCATAGTGCTTCGTTGTAGTAATCATATGTATATGGCTCAGGTAACATAAGGGTGTATATATACACACTGATATGTGTGCTTCTTCAGTCGGAATGTGAATAAGGAAGTGCTTGATAACGGTGTTAGAACCTACACCGAAACGTCGCTCTCACAGCAATAAAGAAGTTGTTCATCCATGTATTGTTATCATTCCTTACTGCTCCAACTTCTAATTGTCTCTCAAAGAAGGAATGTGTATAATTCATAATAATTACATATAGTTCGCCTGATGTAAAATTTCTCAAACCGGCCGGTATATGATTTGCTGACGCTGCATATTTTGTGAAACACCACAGACTTCATACATATTATTTAGTTATTTTCACATCAAAATGGTTTGTTAGGTTCCTATATTGCTAGCAATGCAAACAACTGTCGAATGCCCTACCTAACATATCACTTGCAGATATTCATAAATATGTATGGTTAATTAAATAAGCATACATCTCAGTGTACATTACGATTGTCAAATGGGTTGACACTGTATAGACACTTGTTTACAAGAAGTCAACAATCCCGGGGAGTGACGTCATTTGCGTGTTATACATGTGAATAAATTATCCTAGATTTTAGTGCACTGTGACCTGCTTAGCTTTGCGGAGGGCCAAATGCAGTTGCGTCGCGCCGATCACTCATGATAGTGCGTTACCCATAGTCCCTTGCGCGTACAACGTGAAGTAAAGAACAATGGCGGCCATGATGGTTTTAGCTTCTCAAATCTGTACCTGACGGTTTTTCACGTATCGACATTGCCACATGCGTTCAATCAGGTAAATAACGCGATTTCTTTTCATCTATCGACTTCAGGATTCTATTAGATGTCAATAAGCACCCCTGGCTCTTTTCCTGTGATGGGTTTGCTTTCAGTGAAATCATTTGAACATATTTCCGTAATTTTTGCCTTTGAGAGGACCCACTCCACGAAAATGTGTATGGAATATGCATTTGTGAACGGATTTTAATCAAATTTGCGCCAAATTAATCGCTGATTTTTAATTCACCTTCTAGACCAACCTCGGGCGTGGATTGGAACAGACGAGGCACGTGATTGGAAAGGAATTTCTGCTCATTTCGCTTCATTGTTCAGTCAGCAGACGACGCCATGATGGAGCTCGTGTGTGATCCAAGATGAGCAAGGTACGACTCCATGAATGTTGTCAGTGTGTGCCGCTCATATTCATTAATGTTTTAGCTACCTTTGGAGGTAGTAATTCATTTGTTTTCTTACCATTTAGCCTCTCGATTAGGTGTTACGTGACAAACTGCTTACTTGGCGGTAGTCGGCCATGATGAATTTTGACTTCGTCTGCAACGCTCTTCCAAGATGTGATTGTTTACAACTATATTTTGGTGTTTTAGTGGATATTGTGCTTATATTTTATTACTCCAGTGTCTGTTTTCAACGTTACAGCCATTTTGGTTTCCTTTTCATGGACTTGAAGTGAGAAATCTGGATTTAAACAAGCCTACCCCACGCAGGAATATTTGTGATATTTGTGGAGGGAATCATTGTTTACAACATGTATTTGATCAAAATGTATCATAATTGATCGTGTTTCATGTTTATTTTACCTTTAAAGGCTTCCCAGACACTGTGACATTCAAATGACCTTGGTAGTTTTCATTTCTAAATGGGACCCATTTTTGCAAATTTTGACTTTGTTTCGAGTTAGGCAGTATTGCTCAGCAATTCCCCTTCTCCCCTCTTCATGAAACTTGTAAACTTTGTGTTTTTATGTGAAATAGTCCTTTAGGATGTTTGTTAACAGCTTTACAACAATATTGTATGGGTTTAGTGTGGAATACATACAATATTGTCACATATTATGTATTGTTTTGCAAATTTGATGATATTCTGTTGTTTTCAAAGGTTGTGTTGATGTACTTCTAACACTTCTGTTCATTTAATGTTAAATAGTATGTGTGCACATCTTCTGAGAGCATTCACTAGTATAAGTAAAACATATATTAGCTCTTCAGTGATTACTTGCGACTTCGAAATTGTTAAAATGATGTCCATCTGTAACCCTTTGATACATACCTATAGGTGTCTTCATTACACTTGTGATGCTGTTAAGCTTTTGGAAACACTTTAACAGCACTCAGTACAGTGTGAACATGAAGTAATATAGTAAATTAAAGCTGAAGACCATGATTTGGTCACCAACATAATAGCTGTTTTAGATAGACTGTTGTAATATCATTAATCAATCCACCTGTTCTTCACAATAAGGCCATGTATTGTTTGTGTATTTGTGGGTGGAATGGACCATTCAGAAGGACCATTGACAACAGTACCATTCTGTAAAAAGTCAGCAGACATACCATTTACAAAAGAGACAGAATTTGTCTGATTTTTAGCACATCAATGAAAAATAGCGATTTGACCCTTTCGGAATCAAATCTTAAAGATCTAGATTGCAGCTGTTTTGATAGTGGTAGAATGGTTTCATTTTAAATCCTTAATTATGTCTGTTTATTTAAGATTCAATGGAATGTATTAAAAAATATCAGTTACTGATACATTTGCTGATGCTGCTTAAAAATAGTATATGTAATCCCTGTCTACACATCTAAGGTCATTTTACCCCAAATACAAATCTTATTTATTATCATTTAACTGCCAAGTTTTAACAGATGAGAATGATCATCATTCTTGATATGTGAAACATTATAAAATGACAAATAATTACTACAGTAATGACTACATTAAATACACACATGCAATGATTAATTTGACATTTCATGTCATTTAACACAATGCTACATACACATGATATATCCTCAATTTTACCCTTATCTTGTGAAATGATCACATTGTTATGGCCACATTAATAGTGGACATATATATGATTAATTGGTACTATTTAGGTAACATGTTGTGCATGAAGTGTAATACAAATGATTTTCTAATGAAAGGATTGGTGAGGCAAAGGATGTGCCTGATATGTTTAGCAATAACTACAGTTCATGGTAACTTAGTAATTCAGTTTATTGAAAGGAAGTGATTGTATGCATATGCAACTTGAGTGGCAAATTATAAGTAAGGTGTACTTGATTATTTGTTTTTGAGCTATAACCCGTCAGAGACCTTGTCATACATTCAAATGGCTGTAATTGTCTTCTCAATAATTTATTACAAATTCTCTCCACTCTCTGACTGGATCTTAGCTGTTGGCAAGGTAAAGGCTGATATGATTAGCAGTGTGATCATTACTTCTTCCTTTGGTCATCCTTCTCATATATTGTCAGTGCTGCTTCTAATGTATTTCTTCAAAGGTTATGTTGTTGACAAGCATTCGTAGTACTTAACCCTATTACACATAGTTCTAATTTTCTGTGTTCCTTGCATACGTTGTTTGACATTGCTTCAAGGAAGTCTGAAAGACTTCATAGAATCATATACGTATGTCATACTATTTATACTGGTTGTAGCTTGTGTTTTGCAAATGGTGGGCTCAGAATCCATGTCATGTTGTCAGAAGCAAGTCGGGTATTCCCATTTGGACTTTCATGAAGATGTAATTTTGGGAGTATCTGAATAGTCCTGATTAGCATTAGTTAAATTGAATGCACCATGCAGCCTTTGTTTCAACAAATAACCATTTTGTTAACCTGTACCTTACTGTGCATACTAAGGACACATGAGTGAATTAGTTAGTTTCTTTGTAGTTTAGTTATGCCAGGCTTAATCAGTTATCACTTGACATTTTGAGTATTCAGTCCAAGTTGGTTTTCCCAGCTAGTGCAATGATTATTCTCTGGAAATTAGCTAGGTATTTTCTTGAGTCTCTTGCTGAAGAATTTGGTTGATATTTGCTACCATAATGGTATTCTACACTAATGCATACACTGAATATATTTAACTGACTATATTTCATGAATATGTTACACATGAACTACATGTACTGAACCTTTGTGTAGTTATTCACCTGTTTTCATTATTTAGGCCGGTATTTTACTGGTGTTTGTGGAAATCGAAGGGAGATAACTCTTGTATGAACTAGATTTGGACTTAGAATTTGTTTGGTAGAAATGACTGCTTACTGTGGTTATTGTTGCACTTGTTTTGTATGTTGTTATTGATGTTTTCTCATACAAACAGCTTCATTTATTTTGTATTTACTCACACTTGCTTATTTTCATGCTTTCTTATACGAAATATTGGTTATGATGAGGATTTAATCATTTTCACTTCTTGATAGATTTTTTTCTCTTTATAATGTTACTCAGGTCATACGGAGTGATTAGGAAGACCATGTTGCCACAGTATGTTAGTGTTTCATTATCAATACATGTTTCCCTTTTTTATATCTATGTATGTTCTTGGTTTTCATTTGTCCAAACAAAATTGGCAACAGACTTTGCTTTGCAGAGCAGATACAAGATAATCTTATTATGGCAGTTAATTAAGAGAACATTGCTCATCATAATTAAAGGTGGACCATGTATGTTTTAGTTAAAATCATTCATTCCAAGCATGTAGATAATAATTCAATAACTTTTAACGTGACTTTTATCGGACGCCTTTGAGAAAACTTGGATTGTTTCACTGAACTGTACTTTCTGTATACTGTATATGAATTTGTCCTGCACCTATTTCACACTATATCTTTTGGATTTATTTATGTTATTTATCCATGTTTTGTTATGTTTTGCAACATCATTATTGTTCGCACAAAGTATTCAGGTTTAAACTAGTGAAAAATCTAGTAGAAAACATAGAAATATTATCTCTGTTTTCATGATTTGATATGATGTGTCATGTCAGTTAGGATACAGTTTTTTTCTGGTGTTTGCAAAGATGTTTCATTTGTAATGCTTAAATAAACATCTGTAGCATCTCATTTTGCAATGTTCTTCTGCATCTCAACAAAAATTATGATGCTATATTTCTGTTTTCAATTTCTATTGGATTATGGAGGTTTCAAAATATTATTTATGTGGATTGAAGTAGGATGGCAATGAGATATTTGTATGAACACTTTATGTAGTGATTATTTGTACAATATTTCTGTATGTTAGAACAATGTTTGTAGAGACTGATGTAGATATAAGTTTGATCCATTTGTTTTTATCATGATTATTTGAATGTCTATACTGAAGGCACTGTTACAGCATATCTTTCATCATTTTCACATTTCATTTTAACAGTATGCATTGTATTGTTCTGTTGTAAGTAAGAGGGCATGCATATAAGTATTTTCAATTTCTGTGGTACTTTGTGGTATTAATTTAAGGTCTTGTTAGTTTTGTTCTATCAATGCAACCAATATTGTGAACACCTGTTAATTATTTCCCCCGAAATAGTCACATTGCTATAATAATTTGCTTATTTCTTTGAAATCTTTTGTAATCAGTGTTTTAGTAGTAAGAAGTAATCCATGAAATCATTATCATGTGGCAGTAAGGTGATAACACAGGCCATTCAAGCTATGGGTTTAATTTCAAACAAAGTACTTTTATTGGCTGTGACCTGCTGTGAGGTTAATAAAGTACATTTCTTAACTTACAAATGGATGTCTTTGGGCAAAGTGAAATGTTCTGATATATTTCAAATTCTAAGTTGTATTTTGTTGGATCTTAATTATTCTGGTAGTATGATTAGGACTCATTTTGAGCTATGATTCTTCAAATATATTGGATTATATTTGCTGATATGGCATTGATATAAAATCCAATGCAAGAAGAATGTCATTAGAATTAAATGTTCGTGAGCTACATCGTACTGATCAAGCCTGAGCAGAAGTGACAGTATGTGTCAGTAATGGCATGCCAACAATACCTTACGTTGAAGGGCTAAGTTTCATGTACATCTCATGAAGCTGACACCTCTTGAAAGACAGGAGATTTCATTAACTTTCATTTCTTGTGAACTAAAATGATATGATGATGACATCCAACAGAACTTCAGATGTGGCATATATCTGTTAAAAATATTTTCTGATGTTCCAGCAACATTAACTAGACTGAATGTAGTGGTCATCAGTTTGCTAACTCTGCTAAGGACAAGAATAGGACAGTGCAGACGATCTAGTTAAAAAGCCAAATTTCAAACCTGATGAAAGGATACTATGTGTTGTTTTTTTTATTATTATTTTTTTTACATAAATAATCACTTACAATCTTCAGCTGTCAGAGAATGGATGCATACATCATACCTACCATATTTGACTTGATAAGCATCATATGTTTTTGTAATTTGACTGCTCTGCGTTAACCTGTTTTGAGACCAAAGGAGTCCTCAAACAGTTCATTCTCTCTGTTGATGAGTAATTATAATAATTAGAATACATAACAATGTATAAAAGCATGTATATATCTTTAGATTTTGTGTTTTCTAATGTTTGTGTTTACATTATTTCCGTGTTAATGATCATGATACTTTAATGATTTTCTCAATGTCATTGCCCTAAGACTTAAGACACTTTGACATGACCACTGGAAACAGTAAAACACTTTGTATGTAATTTAGTTTGATATCAAATCTAAAGTATACATGTGAACAATAAGGATTTGCCAAACATGCATTGTAATGTTGCGAGATGTATGCATATCAAGGATGCTGATCGATGTAACATGGTTACAAGAGAGTGGATTGGCTTTGAATATTTGATATGCTTGTCCTTGTTCTTGAGGCCTAAGGTGATGCAATTGAGAGGACACAACTTGTAGACAGATACTTGGTCAAAAGGCAACTGCTGTCCATTACATGTAGCTTACAGGTTAATGGATGTGTTATAGAAAACCAGAGCAGAATCATTTTTCTTTCTTCACGCTTTTTGTACAAAGTATTTCTCTATCGGTAAAGGTTAATAAATCATTTTGCTTCAGATTGTGTTATGTCATGACTAAGGACAGTGTCAAGGCATATGATAACTTCATATTGATTGGTTGCACTATCGTTATTAAGGGCATGTTTTGATTAGTTTCATGAGGAAACAGTGTGATTTGTGGAAGTGAAGCAACTGTCATGAACATTGCTCTCATAACTCATTCCATTATCATGGAGTAATGATTCATACAAAAATTCATTATTAATTATTACCACTGCAAGCAAAATATTACCATGAACCTGAAAACGAAATGATATTGATAATGAAACTCTAACATATTTGGGTGTCAGTTATGCTGTAATATACTTCTTATATTATATAAGTAGTTTTATCGGTCAGGCGCCTTCACTCATCTTTCTCTCAAGTGTCAGGTATTAACATTACCTGAAGATAATCTTATGCTGATAAATTACAATTGGCATGGAAATGTTTTAAAAAATCATGTAGCGTTAACAAATATCTTTTACACTGGTCAGGGTATTCTCGTTGCATGTTTTTCACCGGGTTTCAGATAACTGTTTCACCTATATCTACATTATCTGAAGCTAGTGCTTGCCAGATTTCAATGTATTTACTCTTTTTGTTTATTGTAAAAAGAGTGCAGGCAAAAGAGGCAATCGGATCTGTTCAGGGGAAGTAACTCTTGTCTTTCCTAATAACTTGTAGGTTAAATACATGTCTTTGTCTGGTGATGCTTTCTAGTCAAATAACTTTTGGATGAGTTTTTTTGTTTCTTTTTCTAAGTCTTTCTAGATCTGAAAATGTTTTTAAGCAATCCTGGATTATTTGTGTTAATTTTTTAATGGTTTGGACTTAGCAAATTTTGAATTGTTACTTTGGTTTTTTTTTTAAAGTTTAGATTTTAGTTTGTTTCTCTTGTGTTATTTATTGCCTCCTTTGGATTAAAATTACTTATTCAATCATTTATGTATGTACAGCATTTTCAAATATCCTAACAGGTTTTTTTCTCTATAGATTTTGTTGTGTTATCCCTAAATTGTAAGTTAATTTTTTTAACTTCAGATCAGAGACTACAACTCTGTTACAAAGTATCGTTATAACTGTTGGACCGCTGTTTTCTTACTTGATATTGTTTGATTTGCATGTCCTTTGTACATTGTACACAGAGATAGTTAATTTTGGTCAGGACGCCGTTGAGATATCTTCATGGTTCTTGACTGGCTGTGCCTCTGCTGACATACTTGCTGAGTTGTCATGACTTATTTGACATCCACTGTATTATGTAGTTTTTATTGTACAGTACATTTTAACTTATATAGTAATGAAATCTTATGCTTCATTAAGAGTTACAGACAGACCCATTTCACTTTTGAGTCATACGGGGGAACAACTTCAGTTGGTGATGTGGAATGAAATCACCTTAGAACTTAATAATTGAATGTGGACCAATCCTGTTCATATCTTAATGTGTTGTTCATGATTTCACGGTTTCAATGATGTGTATGATTTGTGGTTTTGAGGGTGACGCCTTTAAGAAAAATTGAACTTTCTTTGTTGTGAATAAGAGTATGTAGCACAGTAGCAGTCATGTCAGCTTTGGGAATATTTCTTGTTTCCACAACTTCACTTTCATGAGGAAATTAAGCAACTGATACACAGTATATATATATATATATATCGATGTAAAAGATGTCACATCTTATGCTGCATAAGAAAAAAATGAATTTGGGACAACAGTAATATAATATTACCAACTACTATGTAATGATAGTGGTTGCACAGTGTCTAGAATATTGGTCAATTTTTTAGTAACTACAACAGGAACTCAGTTATGAATAGAAAGTAGTAATAAAGACATCCATGGTATATTAGCTAGCTAAAAATCATGGGTTTGGAATAAGAGGTTTAACATTAAAATTTGGCTTCTTGAAAAGAGAGAGATTAATGTATGTGTTTAGTCCTACTTTGTCGATCTGCTGTTTAACAAGATTTTCTTTTATGTGAAGTTTTACAACTATCTTAAAGGTGTATGTTAAATTTTCCCCAGGATCCTGGTTAAGCAGTCTTATGACTTTCCATTCGGTTACCTAACTAACATTGACATTCATACTGTGTATTCATTTGCTTCATTGTCAGTGGATTAGTGGCTATAACAAATATTATATTTTCAGATTGGAATATCCGGTCTTACAAAATTTGATAACCCTGTGTTTGGGTCAGGCACCACCACCACCACCAACACCAACACCTCCGCTACCTCTAACTCCAACAACACAAGTAACAACACCAGTGCACTGACAACAACGTCTTTACCACAAACAGACTACCTGAGTGATGCCAGCTACAAGCACACGTTGCCTCAGTTGAGTAACGACAAACTGGATAACGACGAAGACAGTGGGTCCGGGTCAGATTCGGGGTCAAGGTGAGTTAATTTATGGGCATGATAGTTAGTGTAATATAACAGATTGTTTAGCATCTTTGCATGACAGTAATCGGTGAAGTTAGGAAAAGAACCTGCCTCAAAATATCTTTTGGCATTTAGTTAACTATTTGTGTGTCATTTTTCTTGGTTAAGTGTAGTGCAAGGAGTTGTTCTTTCAAAGACCTAGGCCTAAAGAAACCTTTGTGGTTCCGATTACCCGACTGACCCATGAATTCTGGTGCCGACACTATCCTATTTAGGCGGTATGAATAAAATAAGCTTTCAGACACCATTGTTTTTTCCCCGTCACCGAAGGACATCAGTTACTCTGATAGAGAAAGTCGACATGATGGCCACAGGCTTGATTAAATAAACAATTACACATTGATAAATGTGTTATTGGTTTGTACTTTACTTCTAAAAAAAACTAAAAAGAAATCCTTCCCATCTACCCTAAATTTCAAAGAGGTGTAATCGGAACAACATTTTTTTTATTTGGCCCTATGGCAGAAAATTGGGAAAATAATTGTTTCTTCATGCTTCCTTTTACGTGCAGTTCCGTAATGCAAAACATTTGTGAACCCTTTCTTGTTTATGAGCACAAGGTGAAGACATTAGTTCATAGATGATATCAACTGAGAAGTTTCAATTTTCTAGGAAATTAGTCTGTCAAATTCATTCCATATCTTTCAGTGGGTCAAGTTCTGGTTCAGATTCTGATTCAGGTGGATCTAAGTCAGAGAAGTCAAACAAGAGTTCATCTGAGTCCAGTAATCAATCCGACAATGATCAAGATTCTCATAGCGAGGTAAACAAAAGTGACAGTGATTCTAAATCAAGTAGCCAATCAGAGAGTGAAGATGAATCTCCAGTGAAACACGAGCTAGAGGACCATAATGACCTTGACGATCATGACGATCATGACCATGGCGAACATGACGAAGACTCGAAGGAGTCACTTGGGGACACTGATTCCCAAGATGCCAGTTCAGGGAAGAGCAGGTCTAAGAAGGAACGCTTAAAGCAGGTAGGCATAGGCAAGAAGACACTTGGTAGATGATGCTTAAATAATGATTTTGTTTCGACAAGTTAGTGTACAGGTGTTATTGTTGTGAATATAGTCTCCTCTGTATCAAGCCCTAAACTGGACAAAACCTTGGATGCATGTTTTCCTTGCCTCTGTACCACCTCTATGGTTTTAGTGTGTCTGCCTGTACAGCATTTAGAGATAAATTGTTATAATTCACCGACTTGGATTAGGTATTCACACATGCCATCATACGCAACTAATGTGAAGTAGTGCTCATGATTTAAGCCACTGGGTGTGACTCATAGAATTATCCTTTTTGACAACTCTTTTCAAAATGCATTCTTTAGCCATGTATGAGTCATTCTCAAAAGTTGCAGGTATTTGGTGTACAAAAGACAACATAATTGAAATACAAAATCATCAATCTATATTTTCACTAATAGCAAGGTACGTTGTTAATGTTCACATATCAATAGTATTTGAGGCTTAATATATTTGGTTCAATTTGTTTGTCCTGTGTAGAAGATATTTTGAACTTATGCAACTTGTGGTATATAAACCGTACAGATGTGTTTGTATGATGCTGTTTTTCAAGGAGTTGTGGAATGAGGAGCCAGATCTGTATGGAATTCGTAGGTCTGCAAGGTCCAGGAAAGAGCCTGTACGCTACAATGCTGCCAACGCTGTAAGTTGCCTTCAGTTCAACTGGATGGTAGATAGGGGAATTGCCAAAATGTTTCCATTTTGAACATCCATCAAAAAGTGTTGAAGACAAATCATTGGAATCGGAGGTCTTCGTCATAAATAATGTGTCAAATTTAGCGTCTTTGTCATAAGACGCCAACCACTCCGATTTTCAAATGCCAAATCTGCTCTCCGATTTCTCTATAAAAAAACTCCGATGTTTTTAGAAAAGATTCTGAATTTATTTTTACGGTATACAATTTCGTAAGTCATCGGTGATTTATTTGAGTGAACACTGGTAAAAGCATTCAGAAGCTTAGCGTGTGATCCTTCGGGTGTTGATTGTGTATATTGCGTGTTATTAACGATGAAGTTTCACAAAGTTTTTCCGAATGCATGTCATAGTCCGTATGAAAGTGAAACAAAATGGCAGAGCCGACCACGCGCTCACCCCCAACTCGCACCTTTGGTGCTCAGACCTGGCTTTCATCCAGTCATGATTCCGATTTACTTAGATTCAGGGTTGGCATCTCTGCATAAGATAATGTTGGAAGTCAGTGCTTCTTAGATTAATGTTCTAAAACTCATGTTAGAGCGTATCTTATATGTACGCTGTCACTGTGCTGGCCAACCCAGGAATTGCAAAGATACTTGTTCAATCTGCCATTGCTTCAGCAGGACCAACAACTGGTTGTCTTTTGTTTTAGAGTGACAGTGATGATGACCACCCTCGGTCCAAGAAGAGAGGGAAGAGGAAAGGGTAGGTTGTCTTCTAGCAACAAGATGGAAATAATTACAGAGCCCAGTTGAGGTATAAACCCCAATGCACATTGATCATTTTATGAGGAGCTGACTTGTTTTTACCAGGGTTGATTATTAAACAGGTTGCAGTGTTTTTATTGGTATATAAGTACAGCCACATGAAAAAAGAAAAATACTACGGAGGAAATTCTTATTACCAGTCACACCAAGTCATGTGTTTCATATTGTATTGTTATCTCTGTTGACTAAACAGCCAGTTATCACTACATCCATAACATCTATCCTACCCACTTGATTTCGTGTATTTTGAACCTATTCATACTTTTCATATCAATGACTTTCCTGCTCTTGCATTGGATCAGATGCTATTTGTATTGCTTATGAATGTGTTAATGTCATTTATCTGATTAATTGGTCACTGAATGTTGCAGGTCAACTGATTGGGGTGGAAGTGATGACAGCAATGAGGCAAGCTCGGGAGACTACAAACCAAGCAAGATTAATGTCAAGTAAGGAAAATGTTGGCCCTTTCGTCATGTTGGTAATGTTTGTGTCAGGTGACATTTTGTTTTGCTTTCCAGCTAATGGTAGTACCAAATGATTTGTCTTAGCTGTATGGTTTTAAATGCAGTTAATGTGACAAAAGCAGATCAAAGTGTCTTCACACATGTATATATTGCGTTTTTAAAGTGAATGGGTGTGAGCTGTTTACCCAGCATTGAACCGATAACCAGAAGTATGACTCGCAACCTTATAAAGCCTCATGAGTTGTATCAAGCACGACGTTAAACCCAATTTCACCCAATTTCATGAGTTGTATACTCCCTCAGGGATCTTTAAAGGCTTCGTCTAGAGAAATAATGCGATACTTTGAGCATTCTTTACGTGTGGATTTGGCGCATTTGATCTGCTCAGTTTTGTTGGTATCTAGACAAACAAAATGGTACTTACTGAATCTGTTTGTAGTCGGAGAGTCCGAATCAAACCTGTCAGGAGACCACCTCGAGGCTCCAAGTCTCCGCGGAAACCAGCCAGCTCAAGAAAGAAAAGGTTATCATCTGGGTCAACTAGTGGGAGTGAGGAAGACTCAGATGAAGACAGGAGACACGTGGCTCGGAGGGCCGTGGCTTCAAAAGTCAGGTGAGGAGAAAATTACATCCTTCGCTGATACATTAGAGGGCAGGTTGGGGAAGGGCTTTTATGGATTAAATCACAAATAATAAGTTTTTCATGAGTTCACTTCTTCGAGATACTTTCCGGCAGTTTGGCATGTTGTCCACCAATGCATGTCAGTTTATGTCCTTATTGTATTTTGCTGTTAGTTTGCTAAACTGTGAATTATTCCCAGGAGCTTTGTGGGCTTACACTCATGTACATATATTTTTTACCAACTGATGTTTAGACTGGGCCTTCTTTCAGACATCACTCAGTTGGCCCACAGTTCTTAAATGTATCTGAGACAGAACAGAATGGAGTTGAAATCATCTTTTGTGAAACTAAACTTCTACTATACTTTCTTGCAAAGTAACTGAGGGTTACTTGTATTAAAACTGCATACTGGTTCATTTTGCTACGAACTTGAGGAATTAGAGGAATAGTTATGTAGTTTTAGTTTCACCCATGGTTATGTATAATTTCATTTTAAATATCAAACAAGTATGCCCAACAGGTTTCTATTATTTATTTTAGTTTAATGCTGTACTCTGCAATATTCCAGATTTTTCATATTTTCATATTGATCTGTAAATCATGAGTATCCATCCAAACTTGCAATAATTGAAATGAAAAGTCACCAAGTCTGGGCCCCTTTACCCCACAACCCCAAACCATTTGGTAACTCCCAGTGACAAGCATTGGTGACTGGGTGCCTTCATTCTTACAGAGAGTTCCCATGTATGGACCAAGTATGGTGCAATTGTACCAATGAAGTGAAAGGTCTCTTTGAAAATAGAACAAATGTGTTAATTCAAGAACTTATTGCTTTATAATAGGCTTACTGGTCCAGTCAGCATAGTATTTTGTTGTGATTAGCTGCATGTGCATTTGTTAAGCAGACTCTTTATGTGTTTCCAAAAGTGTATTTTAGTGATTTATGTTTTGGGGTTTACTAAATAAGTTGTACAGTTCTTGTATGCCAAGTCTAGGATGTGTTAATAATGATTGAGGCTCGGTTCTGAGTAGTAAGTAAATGTATTGATCATATATCATATATGACTGCGTTAAAGAGGATAATTCTCTATAGCAGGAGCAAAACCTCTCGTGTTTCCAAGCGCAAGTCAACTAAACACGTTAGGTAAGATAGTAGTAACTTTATTTGTGAACTTATCTTAAGAATCTCTTTACTTGGTGTTGTATTTTGAACCAAATATGTCCTTTGTGTACAGTCTATATATTGAATCTGCTGACTTCTAGGCCAGGGTCAAGCATGACCTTCAGTAATCAGTTTGGTTATTGATATCATAATCTGCTTCCTATGTAGCAACTTTGTAAACTCATCACCCTTGTTCTGAAGTGTCTGTGGGAGACTTATCACGCGAGGGCAAATTCATCTACCATTCCTTTTTGATGTTTTGAATGTTCTCTTCCATGTCTTCTGATTTGCATCCGACAAGATGACATATTACAGGAAGAGTGGAAACTCTAGTGTATACTTTTAAAAGCAGCCTTAGTTTGATATCTGCAGTAAAACATAAACATCAATAAACAAAAGAGGACCAGGAGCACCTTATTTGCTCTAATTATTATTTTTGTCTGTCATTAATGAAAGATACATATGATCCTCTAAATTTTGAATTGAATGAGTGATGAAGTACATAGATATGTACAATGACTGGTTATCTTGAATGATAGTCTCCATCTGATTATGTTGGGAATGGGAGAACTTACAACTATGCTGCTTGCCATTTTGGCACCTAGTTAGTTCTTTGTCAGCTGTTGTGGTGATCTGCACACAAGTTGGCTTCGTGTATCTATGCTTTATGACGGTGGTGTTTACAGCCTTAGAAATTTGTTGTATTTTCAAGGCTACTCCAGGGCACTAGTGTACGCCTTGTTTCACTAGTCATCAAGGTTGGTTGCTTGAACAGCACAAACTTGCCAACTATGATTACATTTATAGTCAATTTGGATTTAAAGCAAGTTAAAACTTGGAGATGTGGTTCAGAAATACTGCCTTCACATGGAGGTTCACTTGTCTTCAGCACAGTTTAGTAGTCTGTGCCATGAATTTCAAAGGCTGTGTCTGGCATAGTGGTGCACTGCTCTTACTCTTAGCACAGGCAGCTTTACCTGCATGGATGCAGTGTTCAGCAGAAAACCATTACTATGTGTCGATACAAAGTTTTTATTAAATCAAAGTAATTTTCACAAGGTTGTACGTTTTGTTGAATTAGTCTAGGGTTTGAAATTTGAAATGTTTGATTATTGAATGGTATGTTTATGTCTATTTATAGTCTTTTCGATAGTTTATGTTGGGTCTTGGTATGGCATTGGTAGTTGATGTAGTGATAGACGCAGTATGTAAAACAAAGATAAGTGTCTGTAGTCGGTGCTTCTTGTTCAGTTACAAGGAAGACACAGATGCCTCGACAGATTCGGATGACATTATGGAGGTGACGACTAACGCTGTTGAAGATGCTGAGGAGGACAGTCGCGAAACTGTTGAAAAGGTTCTAGGCACAAGATTAGGTGTCAAAGGAGGTAAGGATTTCACAAATTACATTTAATGAACACTTAATAGTCTTAAATTTTATAGACATTAACTGCTTATAATTTGCAGTCGAGTTATTACACTGTTGTAAGATCCTAATTCAATTCATAACAATTAATAATTGAAATGTTCAAATATAATGTTTTAAGCTCAGTGATATGTTGTGTTTGTTGCTCAGTGTTCAAATTGACCAATACAGTAAGAATTTCTTATTTTTATATCAACAATTGCTGGTGAGGTAGTATTTCTTTGTGTTACATAGTGAAGGTACACTGCCGGTAGGAAGGGATGGTGACGGGTGGTGTGAGCTTGGCAGGATGTGTGAATGAGTGGGAGTGAGAGATCACGTCGACTGGCTCATGTCATGCTCGCTCATGCTGTTGTGTATTTGTTTGTAGTGGCACTGGGCTGGGGGAGATGTCATGTGCTGATGCTTGTTTCATGTTGATTGTTAGCAAATCATCACAAGTCATTTTGGAGTTAAACGATCAGTTTGGGAACTGTTTTTAGACGTGTAAGATGAGTTTTTGTGTTTTGTGTTCTAATTGTTTGTATCAACAGAAATTATGTTGAATTGTAACAAAAGTAGAGAATAAGGAGAATATCCAAACAGGTGAAATGCGTGAATCCCAGCTGGTATTAGCAGAAACATGTACCGTATATTACCGTCTATAGGCCGACCCCATGGATAAAACAACCCCAAACTTGACCCTTAAAATCAGTTTCAAAATGGTATGTTTCGTGCATAAGTTGATCCCCTGCGATGGGGTCCTAATCGCGGCAAACACAAACCACAGACAACTGACAGTTACCAATAATTATAACTTTGGTCCACATTATTCAAAGAATTCACAATCATATATTGCGTCTACTCACGGATCGAAACGAAGTGTAGTTGACAGAAAATGCATAATATATTTTGTTTCTCTAAATATATATATATTGTAGCAACAAATTGGCTTGCTTATTTTACCCCATTCAACAATCACGAACTGATTACCGCCTCGTTTTCCATTAACTGCTAGTTTACAGTAACATCGGTAAAAATGTGTGAATTTAAATGGCTTCCGTATTTTACCCCATTCCATGTGCGTACAACTTCTTCTTCTGTTCACGCGAAGTGATACAATGTTGTTTTCTTACCCCTGGAAAAAAGTTTGATGAAAGCGTAACCCATGGATAAGACGAACCCCTTCTACAGACTGCTTTTTTTGGTCCTCAAAATTCGGCTTATAGACAGTAATATACGGTACGATGGCTGTGAATTGGGTTGTGTGTATGTTTTCATAAAGCTAGCTGCCTGCATGCCAACCATTGTCATGGCGACCTTCCATCACTTGTCATTGTCCTGACCCACCTGCTTGTATTTTCATGTTTTCATTGTGCATTTCATATTTTCAGTGGTACATGTGCAGCTACAGACACTATGCCTGCTTCATGTCAGCTAAAATCAGCCAAAAGCTGGTGTAATTTGTACGCTATGGACAGTATTGTGACTAGTTGATGTAGATTTCATTGCAACGTCTGCAAGCTGTACACGTACCACCAGTATGTGGGAATTTCATACTGTGGTGGTTCATATGTTTCATTTGTGCGTACAGCTGAGCATGTTGTTCAGGAACTTTGTTTTGGATTTAACAAGTGGACGTTTCAAGCAAAAGTGAAGCATATGAATCACCTTCATTGCTTTTCATGATTTCATGAATCAGTTAGCTGTGTTGTACAGTCAAGTCAATCGTCATGTTTCAAATTGATTAAAGACAAACACCAATAGAAGCTGACATATTTAGCCCACTAGTCCTTAAAATGAGCTCATGCATCAAAACACTCAAAATGGCAGGTTTGTTTGTGTCCTTATACCTTACTTGTAAATGTGTGGCAAGGACTAAAGGACCCATGCCCATTTCACTCACTGTTAAACAAATTTACACCATTAACACTGACTTATGTTGACTACCTATCAAAAGTTGACTCACTTAAATCACTCACTACATGTTATGTATATATATGGTTAGATCTAAGATGAATTACTCCACTAACTTGGGGGAACCAACTGCAAACCTTATGCAGATGAACTGTACGAGGATCATGCATCAAATTGCTAAAAAGCATGTGCAAATGTCGTGCATGTGAACAGCTGCATTTTTTTAACTCATGACAATAATCTTTCCAACGTTACAAATTTGTTTTACAATACATCAGTTCAAGTGTAAACAGTACCTTTAAACAGTGTGGAATATTTTGCAAAATCTGGTTTGGAACAGTTGACAAAAGTTAGTGGCTACATTTACACCAGTGAGTCTAAACCCTTGATGGGTAGTGTATGTCAAAATGTCAACAACAAAAATCCTAAATGTTTGTGAAATGTAAATCATGTTATTGCTGGGACAGGAGGTTCCCAGGCAAGGCCTTCTGAAAATGTTTTTGTTTCGTTTTTATAAGAAAGCAATTTTCAAAATATAAACTTTTTTTTTTTTAATGTCCTGTTCTATTTTTATATGACTGTAGGCGTCTACCTTGACTTACAATTGTACAACACGGCAACGATAGCAGTAGTGTATGAGTGTAGTAGAGTATGAGTGTATGTCGTGCTTGATGTTACGTGGCTACCGTTCACTCTTTAGCTACAGGCAGCAAGACCACAGTGTACAATATAGCCACTTGTGGTGATCCTAATACAGGAAGCAACCCTCCCTCAGCAACAGCATGGAGTCAAACTGAGGAAGGAGAAGTCAGTGATGGCATGGACAAGGTGGTTGTCAAGGAGACACAGTATCTCATCAAGTGGAAGAACTGGGCACACATCCACAACACGTGGGAGTCCGAGGCCAACCTCCGGGAACAGAAGGTCAACGGCGTCAAGAAGCTGGAGAATTTTAAGAAGAAGAATGAGGAGATATCAGAATGGTATAAAGCTTGCTGCAGTAACCCTAGTGGAATGATGTTTTTGGCCGGATTTGTGGAACAGATATATAACTGGGACTGACTTCAAATAGCATTAATAATATTAGGCCTGTGTCAGTGACCATGGTAATCGTTTCTGGATTAAGAAAAATGTTATCCTCATCTTAAAGACACATTAGACACTGAATATGGGAGATTTCCCACTGACATAACAGTACAGGCATGCACACATTTCAGGCGGTTGACAGCATCTCCAGAAGACATAGAGTACTTTGAGTGTCAGCAGGAGATGATGGAAGAATTGCAGGGGCAATACAGGCTCTGTGAGAGAATAATTGGTAGGTGCCCATGTCATGATTAACTGCCATATATTGGTCGTCAATCTGGATGTATTTAAAACTAAAATGACTTAATTTTAACTTGTCATACAATGCATGTGTAGCTGTGAGATTATAAATATGACATTTTGCAATTATATTTAGTAACTGTTCTATGTTAGCTAGTGCTGGAGCGATTAATCGTAGGATTGTTCGATCTAAGTCAAAATAAACGATTGTCGATTACAAATAAACAGATAATCGGAAATAATCATTATTTGGATGCACATACATTAAAACGTTTTATTCTACCTTGTCATGTTTTCTTATACTGAACACTCTGGTCGTCATTGCTTGTTATCCCCCGCAACGTCCGTCCGTCCGTCCGTGCACATTTGTCTTTTCCGGAGCAGAACTCTAAAACCGTTCACTATTTCTTCACCAAACTTGGCACATAGATTGGTCTGGTGGTGTACTGGTGCCTTTTGGTAGTTTTGGAATTCTGAATAAAACATTTTTGGCGTTTCCATGGCAACAAGTTTGACTTAGAATGAAATTAGTGGTAGTGCTCTTTTCCGGAGCAAAACTCTAAAACCGTTCACTATTTCTTCACCAAACTTGGCACATAGATAGATCTGGTGGTGTACTGGTGCCTTTTGGTAGTTTTGGAATTCTGAATAAAACATTTTTGGCGTTTCCATGGCAACAAGTTTGACTTAGAATGAAATTAGTGGTAGTGCTCTTTTCCGGAGCAAAACTCTAAAACCGTTCACTATTTCTTCACCAAACTTGGCACATAGATAGATCTGGTGGTGTACTGGTGCCTTTTGGTAGTTTTGGAATTCTGAATAAAATAGGTTTGGCGTTTCCATGGCAACAAGTTTGACTTAGAATGAAATTAGTGGTAGTGCTCTTTTCCGGAGCAAAACTCTAAAACCGTTCCCTATTTCTTCACCAAACTTGGCACATAGATAGATCTGGTGGTGTACTGGTGCCTTTTGGTAGTTTTGGAATTCTGAATAAAACATTTTTGGCGTTTCCATGGCAACAAGTTTGACTTAGAATGAAATTAGTGGTAGTGCTCTTTTCCGGAGCAAAACTCTAAAACCGTTCACTATTTCTTCACCAAACTTGGCACATAGATAGATCTGGTGGTGTACTGGTGCCTTTTGGTAGTTTTGGAATTCTGAATAAAATAGGTTTGGCATTTCCATGGCAACAAGTTTGACATAGACTGAAATTGGTGATAGTGCTCCTTTCTGGAGCAGAACTTTTAAAACCTTTCAATACTCTCCTTCCACTTTTCTATATACACACCTAAATATTTGACATAATCATAACTCGTAGACATAATCATGAAGAGTATTTTGCCATTGCGGGGATATTGATGACTTTGTCTTCTTGTTTACCTCTTATTCTTAAACGGAAGCTGTGTACTAAACAAGTGCGCATGCCTCCCCTGTCAGCCAATGGCAATGCTAGATATATTTAGACTAGTACCGTGATCTTGTAAGGTGGGATGTCAAATAAGCACATGAAACATTAATGGCATCTTTGGAGTAACGATTTAGGATATTTGTGCATTTGATTATGAGGTAGATATTGCATTAAGGATCCCTGAGTTAAAATTAATCTTTTGTGGGTGTTTTATACTGTTGCCTACGCATGGAAACTTGATTCGTAGCATATCGATGTCAGAATAATAGTGGTGATCGCCTTGTTGTCATTCAGGATGCTTCTCATGGATTTTCTCGCTATTTCGAGCTATAAACGGGAATTGTAATGGCCGATCGAAAACATAACGACTGGAAACGTAAGATGATAGGATACTTGATGATACAAAGACGCTGCAAATGTAAGTAACTTGCTAGAGTTAACAATTGACACGTGCTGACAACATCCCGGAAGTTAGTTCGCTAACGTAGGTATTTGACTATGAAATAACCGTCCAAACGATTATAATCGATCGATTATCGATCTGACACTAGCGATTATCGATCTGACAAAATGTAACGATATCCAGCTCTGATGTTAGCTATAGTGATGAGGTCGTAGCCCTGTGTCTGTTCACTTGTGCTGAATACATGGGTTTGATTCCACTAATCGTTATTCATCAAACCGTTGATGGTATCACCATTCATTATTTTGCTCTAAGTGGCAACATTTATCCCTCTGTCGCTACAGTATGGGCTCTTATGTGTATACTTTACCACTGTCAGTTTCACACGTTTTATTTAGATCTGATAATTTGTTTCTTCTCTTCAGCTCACTCTAATCAGAAACAAGCCAATGAGCACAATGGTTTCCCCCGACTATCTGTGTAAATGGCAGGGTTTGCCATACTCTGAATGTACGTGGGAAGATGGGGAATTGGTCTCCAAGCACTTCCAGACGTTTGTAGATGAGTACCATGCAAGGAACAAGTCACAACGTACACCCTCCAAACTCAGCAAGGTAATCAGTGCCTGTACATGCTATACCACCACCCAAGTTGTAAAATGGAAGTTGGCGATCAGCACGTTCGTCAGTTTGTCTGGCCACTGTCCTTTACACATCTTCTGAACAGAACTATGTTGAATATTTCTTGTTGTAACTTGCTACACAGATCAGTCTAGTGGTGCAGTGGTGCCTGTTGATAATTTGGGATTCTTATGTTTTTGATATTTCGTTATTTTTTGTCATGCCAACTTATTGAAATTTGCTGAAAATAATAGTAGTGCTTGTTTCTAAAACAAACTCTAAAAGCATTTACAATGAACCTGGTGACTTTTGATAATATGGGATACTGTATTTAACTTGTGTAACTGAGCCAATGGTATCCAGTAGCAGCGAACCCAAAAGTGGTGATAAGTACCCATTATCCATTTGCAAGTACATCCTGTGAGAACTCTTGTTCGTGATTGAATTTTATTCAAAATTGTGGAACTTTTTTTGTTGTCCAAAAATGAAGTTTGATGTAATTGTGAATAAAATGATTGAGCCAAAGATTGCAGCAATGTCTTTAATAATTTTCTATTCTAGGTACTGAAAGTCCGTCCAAAATTTTCACCATTAAAAAATCAACCCAAGTATCTTGGTGGCAGCGACCACCGGGAACTGCGAGACTACCAGCTGGAGGGACTGAACTGGCTCATCAATGCCTGGACCAAGTATGTGAAGCAACAAACCACTCAGTCTATATATGTTGTCATAATGACCCTCATGATTCGTTGAAGATGCTCTCTGCAGTATTTAAACTTTGAATTTCAGCAGAGGTGTAAATATAATTTCCTGACTTAACATTTGAATTTAACCTGTTTTCAAGCTGATTACCTGGGTGACATAATATACCATGGTAGAGGCATCTGGATTGACAACTTCATCAGGGGTACTCCATCTTGTTTCAGAGAGAACAGTGTGATATTGGCTGATGAGATGGGGCTGGGGAAAACTATCCAGATTATTGGCTTCCTGTCCCTTCTCTTCAACAACTACCAACTTTATGGACCCTTTATCCTAGTTGTTCCCTTGTCTACAGTAGTTGCTTGGCAACGGGAACTCCAGAACTGGGCGCCAGAGATGAATGTTATCACCTACCTTGGTGATATCAACAGTAGAAACATGGTAAGTTATTACATGTATTCCTGGCTAATACAAACTATATCTCACAATTTGGTTTGTCTATGAAGTACATAAATCTTTTCTCATTCCAAAATTCCTAATCGATGCATTGACATATTCTGCTTGCCGTCTTATTAAAGTTATGATACAGATTTTTCTTCCTATTGACAATATATGTGTGTGTGTGACTTCTTCCTCAAGATCCGGGACTATGAATGGTACCATCCCAACAGCAAGAGGTTAAAGTTCAATGTCCTCGTCACAACATACGAAATATTGTTAAAAGACAAGGTAAGAAAAATAGGAAGATAATACAAGTTGTGTTTGTTATGGGAACTTGTCATGTAGGCTGAAATTAAACTAAATTGGGGTTATGAGTACACACGATGTAAGAGTACTCTCCTGGGAATGTTCATTCTAAGTGTGCATATGAGTGAGATAGATGTTGTATAGACTTTTTGGATGTAGTGTAGCTGTGTCATGCTGTGGTAATGTGTGAAAGTGACTGACAGAGTTTGGCTTTACGCCGCTTTTAGCAATATTCCATCAACATCACGGCGGGGGACACCAGTGTGAAAGTGAAGAGAATGTAGCAACATTTACTTAGAGCAGCAGGTGCTGTCATCTGTCACTTAGCAGATGCTATTAGAATGCTCATTAAATGTTCGGATCACACAGCTTTGAGACAAATGAACATATACCTAGAAGGATTGATATATATCATGTCCAGTATTTTGGGATATTATGTGAGACCTGTAACCAATATACTGTCTAAGTGTCTGCCTGTGTAAAATCTTCTTGATTATGTTCTAAATGCCAGTTACATCAGGATGTTCTTTGTTAAACCAGTCTTTCTTAGGTAGTCATCAATGGGCTTTCCTCGGTGTGGATGAAGCACATCGACTGAAAAATGATGACTCCATGCTGTACAAATGTTTAAAAGACTTCGACACAAATCATCGCATCCTCATCACAGGAACTCCGCTCCAGAACTCTCTCAAGGAACTCTGGTCTCTCCTTCATTTCATCATGCCTGAAAAGTAAGAACCAGATGAGGAGATGGAACTATTTTCAGAACCTGTTATGTTTTTAACTTTTTCCAGTTAATGAATTTAAGTAATTCATGTCAAGGTCAAAGTCGGTCTTGAAAATATCTGTGTGTTTGAACAACTAAAGAGAAGATATCAAGAGAGGTTGACTGGTCATGTTTTTGTTGACATTTAACTTCATCTTAAACTTTCATTACTTTTTAAGTTTGATTTGATAATTTGCGGCGGGGGATTATGTCACCTTAGTGACAATGCTTGTTGCAGTTTGTTTCCAGACGACCAGTTAAAATAGCTGACCAAAACATGTGAAAATTGCAAAATAATAATGCATGTGTGCTTGTTCGATAATTTGACATGGAATTTAACTTTAGAAGTTCTCTAGCATTTAATTTAGGAACCACTCTCACTTTGAACAAGAAACACTTTGATCATTCGCTTATTGTCTCACAAATTGTTTTTAGGTTTGACCGTTGGTCTGACTTTGAGTTGAAGCATTCCAAAGCTGACAAGACAGGTTTTGCTGCTCTCCATCGAGAACTTGAACCCTATCTCATTCGTCGAGTGAAGAAGGATGTAGAGAAATCACTGCCAGCCAAAGTAAGAGCTAGGAAAAAAGTCGACCAATAAATATTTACTGAAGTGACCGGTGACCTCAATTAACAATCCTCATTAGGGGCTATCTGACGGGCTCTTCCAGTGACGTGTCTGCCCCCCTATGTTAAGATGCATGTTCCTGTGAAAACAAATGGTAAACAGTTTGATCTGGTTAAATATCTTCTCTGCATTATTTTAGTTACGTCTGATTGTCGTAAACCACATTGGGAAATGTGAACTTTGCACTTCTACTACCAACGTAAGGTTTGAACAGTAAATCCAGATGAAGTTGACATTGTGCGATGCGTTGTTGAACTGTGGACATAGCCTCAATCAGCAAACATTGCTGTGTCGCTGTTTAATTGTTTGAGCTGAGACATTTATCCATCGAAAAATTTTGAGAAAAAAAATGTTTCCACCAGTGATGTTAGCCAAGTGAAGTTAGCCAAGTGAAGTAACTGCAAGCATTAAACAGGGTGCTATGGAGTAGTTTTTTGGTGGGAGACTTTATGAGGCGATGACAACTGACATGCATCGTGACGTCGGTTACCGAGGGTACGTTTGATTACGAGGGGGCAGACAAGAATGTTGTAGTGACGTCAGTACACTATGTCGTCATGCACAAAAGTGTACTTTATCGCCTGGTAGAGTCCTGTCGGTGTTGGCCGCCTCCGTGGTGTAGTGGTTAGAGCGGAAGGTCGCGGGTTCGATCCCCGACCGCGTCATACCAAAATACGTTAAAATATGGTACTTGTTGGTCCCTGCCTGGTGCTCTGCATTAATGGGTACAACAAGGACTGGTCGGCTCGGAGTCAGTATACTGTGTCTGAGTGGGGTATTCATGCTTCACTGTGGCATGGTATCTCAGTGAGCTAGCACTATAAAACCAGCTTAAGTCTGGGCTAGTACAAGCAGCAACACATACACACGCATGCACGTCGTCATATGAGCGAAATATTCTCAAGCACGACGTTAAACCCAATTTCACCTCACCTCCTGTCGGTGTCTTTGATCTTCTAGCGAAGCATCTCAGAATTGTGATTCTTCTGTTGTTTTGTGGTTGAGTTTCTGTCGGCGTTGGCGTTCCCATTGTTTCCTTAACCTAACTCTAAAACTACGTGAACAATCTTCACCAAATGTGGTATACTGCCTCTCCATATCATGTAGATGTGTCATTTGGGGGTTTGAGTTATTTTTCAATTTTAGCTTTTTCTGTTTTCATGGCAACAATTTGGACTTACTCTTTTTGAAGGGTAAAGTTCGTTTCCAGAGCAAAATTCTGAAACTATTTGATCCATCTTTACCAAATTTGCTATACTGCCTCTCCATATCATGTAGGTGTACCTTTTGGGGGTTTGATTATTTATTTTTTCAATTTCATTTTTTCATACATAGAGATTTTGAAATTGAAGGAATCAAATGAATTGTTTGAGGTCTCAATGTTGAATTGGGGGAAGGGGGAGATCTGTTTTTCGCGAGTTAAAACACTTTGTAGTTATTATTGCTTTGAATATTACTGTGTTGGTGTTTGGATTGTATCATATAGATGTTAGTTGCCTTGTGTCCAAATGATTGTACAACCAGTAAAGTTAATTTATGTGCCCTACACATTAGTCAAAGTAGTTACTGATGAGTAGTACTGAGCAGCAGATCACATTAACACTTATGATTGATAGCGTCATGTGTGGTCGAATGATCTGAGGTAATAATGGCTGATCCGGGCCAGGACTGCTGACCAGAAGAGAAAATCATGTTTTATTCCATTTGTTTTCCATAGTTAGCAAGACCATATATTTTTCCTTATCCTGACCCATGCTCTTTTGCTTGTCTTCTTCTTCTTGCGAACATAGTGGAACACTTGTATCTCCTTATTTGAAGCTCCCTTCAAAATAAAATCACTAATTGGTACTCACCACAAGTTGCTCCCCTTTGTTTCCCCTGGCGGGAAAGGTGTCGCCACCCTCTGGCCATGTGCTTCACTCTCTCCTTCTTCGCCCAGTGAGCAGGATGTGAGAGCGCCTTGTGTCTCCTTACACACCATATCCTTTGATAATCTCTTAGTTTTTACCTCTCATAGGTTACTATAGAGGTATAGCTAGTATCCTTTACTATTTGTATTGATTAATTATCGTATTTCTACTGTTTATTCCGCGTGTATTCGCGTGATTGTTCAGCTAGCTTTTACGTTGATGAAAATCTGTGCGATTTGTAGATTACGTTTTTCTGCCTCCGATCCACATGTAATATGCCCTAGTTGTTCCTGCCGTACTGCGTTTAATTCACGCGTTGCAGTTACTGCATTAATTTATCTCATTCTGCATTTAATAAATATCATCTTTAGGTCTTTAAGGACGCTGCAGATAGATCACGCAAACAAGGGCAAAACATGGCAGAGAGTCCAGATATTCCATCCAGTCAGCTGCTAGCGATCGACCCTCTCCCGTCTGGTGTTCTGCTAGAGACCCCTGCGGCAGAGGAACGTGGGACGCAGTCCGTTACCTCGAAGAAACGACCGGCCTCCCCAGACATCCCGTCATTGCAGACCAAGTCTAAGAGGGCCTCATCGTCGTCTCAACGCAGATTGAGGACACCCAGGGCAGCGCAGACTTCCAAAGGGAAATCTACGAAGACAGCAAGAACTTTCTCAGCCGAGATCGTTCCAGCAGCAGAGTTGGGCCTCTACGATGATCAGCCGATAATCATCCCCGACTTACGGCAGAAGAAGCGACCGGTGTCAGCGACTGTGACTTCTGCAGAGATCACCATGCAGCCTGATGCCTCTACACCGACGTCAGACGTCATTGATGTGAACCCCATCGCAGAAAAGACGCCGACGACTTCGACACAGATCATCCCAGAAGACATGATGCGGCAGTTTATGAACATCATGGAGGACCACTACAAACTGCGCAAGCAGGGTCCGAGACTTCGCGAAGGCTCCAACGTAGACAGCACCCCAGAGGCACCCCCCGTCAACGTAGCAGCCAAGACGATGTCACCTTCGCGAAGGAAGTCCCGCACCACCTTGACGAAGGACCTAGATGTACAGCCTTCGCGAAGGCCTTCGCGAAGGCCGGAGAGATCATCACCATCTTCGATTTCATCTCTAGATATGGACTCAGACCATCAGACATCACGGAGGCCTTCGCAAAGGTCATATCATCGATCCCCCGGACCGGACGCAAATGAAGCTTCGCGAAGGCATTCGCGAAGGACATATGATTCCAGATCCTCATCATCTAGAAGAACATCGAGGGACTGCCGAAGAGCTTCGCGAAGCTATCAACATTCACCTCACAAGTCTCGAAGATCATCCCATAGACGATCTCCGCCGTTCATCACCAGGCGATCACCCGTCAGATCTCCACATAGAGCGGCGCACAAGTCAACTAGATCGCCACAAACCTCATCAGATATACAGACAGCTACACGCAGTCGAAGAGCAGCTACAATTTGTTAATGATGATGGTTTTGAGGATGATGGAGGAATCATATTTTCTGATGCAGAGATACGGTATTGGATGGTCAATAACCTAGATCTCACATCACCATCTAAAAGTGGCAATACAGCATGAGCGTATTTGATGAAGGAAGATGATCCAGATGCAATCACTCTACCCCGATCGACCCGATTAGCGGCAGTGCCACAGAATCTAGATGCAGCTTTCCAGAAAGCTCACGAGAAAGTTCAGATACCACATCTGCCCAACTTTCAAGCCAAGAAGTTCTCCACGCATAACATGGACTCCTTCTACAAGGCCCAGGACATCGATGAGAACTATAAGATCATCAGCGATGTAAAGAACAAGATTTACAAGATGGATGATCGCAAGTTGGCTCATATAGAAACCATGATGAGGCGGTATGTTCTTTGGGTTAAATAGATCTAGGGCGATCAATGAGACTCTTATTACTAGATTCGGATTCCACTGACGGAAGATGATAGAATGATTTATTCTGCCTTACTTATGCAAAAGAAAGATCAGCAGTTTTTTAGCGGATCATCTTACATCTGTTTCAGCAGCACTGACCTTAGCTCGTCGTCAAGGCCTCCTCGCCTCCTGTAATTGGGGAGAACTTTACAGCCCCACTTTATACAGCCCCGTGGTCGACAACATCCATCTTGACGGAGAAATCGACAAAAGTAAGCCAAGGAAGTCTCTAAGGATTCCAGGGAAGTCCTTATGATTAGATCGATGGACACACTAGCCAGCGTCATTCGTCGACTTCACAAAGATACTCTCAGGCAGATCTAAGTTCACGGGCCTACAAAGAGCAAGAGACAGGAAGATAGCCAGCTCTAGAGGTAAAGATTCTTTTACGTAAGCCCATATGGCAACTATAGAGGAGGATCAGGAAGAGGCAGGACACCCAGAGGTTCCGCAATTATAGGCGCTGAAACACAGGTTCGGAGCGACTGGAGTCTTCCACCCCAGCCGTTCCAGTACAGCCAGCTCAAGTGGGTGGGCGCCTCCAACTACACTGGGAAAACTGGGGAATATTGCAAGACCCTTACGTCTCCAACATTCTTCAACACGGATTATTATCCCTCTACAGGCCAAGCCTCCGCTGACAATCAAACCCCCAAGTTCGGTTACAAGCACAACAACTACCAAAGATAAGAGAGGCTGTTTCATCACTCCTATCCAAACAGGCCATAAAAGTAATAGATCAAGCAAACGTCGAACCAGGTTTCTACTCCCCAGTTTTCCTAGTTCCCAAGAAAAACTCCACGGAGGAAATACAGACTCATCTACAACATGAGCTTTTTCAACAAGAACTATCTACGAAACCACCGAAGTTTCAAGCATGATACATTTACCTCAGTTACGCTTAGATGATTTAGTCCTATGGACTACATGGGCAGCATAGATCTACAGGATGCCTACCTGCACATCCCCATTCATCCCGATTCCAGGAAATACCTACGATTTACTCTAGAAGGGCTACATTACCAGTGGAAAGTACTCCCATTGAATATCATCAGCCCCAGGCCAATCACGAGGATAACGAAACCGATTATCAAATTTCTACATCGCCAAGAGACTACGCCAGTGCGTTTTACCTCGACGACGGGATACAAGTAGATCAAGATCCACTGCATCTCAAACTACAGTTAAATTACATCATAAAGCTACTAACACAACTAGGTTGGTTAGTAAACTTATAAGTCGGACCTAGTACCATCGCCAAGACCTGCAGTTCCTAGGTATTCGATTCATCACAAATCGCAACCGTGATATTATGGTACCAGAAGACCGTTGGCTCAAGATACAGCAGACCATTCCACCAGCTCTACTCTCTCCGTTACCACTGCGACAATGGCAGAGCCTACTAGGTCTTCTCATCAGCCCAAGACATGACTGTCACAGGCAGATTACAGTTACGTCCCCTACAGGTCCTCATCAGCGCGCATCTCAGCGATGTACAACCATTCAGTCTACAGAAACATCTCAGACCACATCTACTATGGTGGACCAAGAAATCGAATGTCTGCGAAGGGATTTGTTTAGCAGAGCAGGAATACAAAACCCATCTGTATGTAGGCAGCGTCACTCCAAGGTTGGGAGCTCATCTCACCAACCACCACGATATCAGGGTTATGGAATCAGCAAGAATGCAAACTCCATATAAACAGTCTAGAAATGAAAGCTGTAATCAACGCCATTCTACATTGGAGCACATTTCTACAAAATGCCTAATGATCCATACAGACAATTCGACAGTGGCGTTCTACATAAACAAGCAAGGCTCAACGAGATCGATGAACCTTTTGAACCTAAGCTTTCAACTGTTCGATTTAATACAAGATCTAAATCTACATGTCAGAGCAGTGCACATTTCGAGCCAGAAATATACTAGCAGCTCTCTCGGCCTCATCTACCATCACCGACAGAGTGGATGATCAACAGGAAATTTTTGCACAGATAATCAAGCAATTAGGGAGCCAGCTAATAGACCTATTAAGCCCAGCGATTCAACAATCAGCTACCGACATTCGTGTCACCAGTCCCAGACCCCAAGCGGGCAGCGGGCGGCTCTAAGTCTATCATGGGAAGGCCTCAATGCGATGCGGCGTTTCCGCCCGCCAACAATAATACCTCAAGTATTACAGAAAATCAGACAAACACAGAGCCTAGTTAACTCACTTTGAATTAAGCCCTACTGGCGGCCAGAACGTGGTTTCCCATACTAATTCAAGAAATCGGTCAACCAACACTGGAGCTACCCAAGCGCAAGAAACCTGTTAATTCATCCTCACACCAAACAAGTGCACGGAAACCCAGTAATGTTCCAACTACTGCATTATGGACTGTATACAAATGTGTTTAAACAAGAGAGGATATTCTGCCAGGCGGCAAAGCAGTCACGCTTGCGCGCTACGTTACTCAACTCAGTGGCAATGCGACGACAAGTGGCACAGTTTGAAAATTATGCAACAAAGAAAGGGTTTACAGCAAGAGAGGCTTCACAACCTCAAGTGGCAGACTATTTGTGTTACCCACGCCAAAACAAACATTTAAAAGGTTCAACGATATCAACATATCTTGCCGCGCTTAGTTCTGTAATCACCATGAGAACGGGTGTCAAATTGACAAGATCTCCAGAGTTACTGGCCTTTACTCACGAGCTTTCGATTGGAGGACCAAAGCGGAAGTTCCACGCCCAGCTTGGGATCTGAATGTAGTGTTACAACACCTCACCGAGTGAGGTCTATGAACCTTTGGAATCGACAAACTTTGAATTTCTCTCACAGAAAACACTGTTTCTGCTATCGCTAGCCACAGCAGCAAGAATGTCTGAAATTCACGGCTCTGGATTACGAGAGGATACAGTTTGATGACAATCATAACACAGCACCTCGGATTAAGATGGGATTTCATGCTAAAAAATCAACTGCCAGGTCAACCAGACAGATTATTCCACATCCGGCTATCCTCTATTCTCGGATCACAAGATACACAAGACCTATCACTGTGTCCGGTAAGAGCTCAAAGTTTATTCTGACGATCCAAAACAAGGAGAAGATTTCTCAAAGCGTTTATTCATCCCTTATAAGCCTCTGAATCAAACAGAAGTGTCACAGACCACAATATCTATTTGGATAAGGACTGTCATTCTCTCATGCCTATAAGGCAGCAGGCTTGGACCCACCAACAGCATCAAATCCACATGAGATCAGGGCACTGGCCTCTACCCTAAGCCCTACACGTAACTGTTCCTTGAACACGATTATGGAAGGATGCTATTGGAAATCTAACATGGTATTTGCTAATCACTACCTAAGAGACATCACTACAGAAGATGTCTCTGGCATTCACCATTCAGGACCACTGGTCCTCGCTCAGCAACTGACAGTCCCTCGTGAGGCGTTAAAATATTATCCTCACAAGATTAATATGTATTTTATACATACTCATCTAGCTTATAACTCTCACGGAGTTTTAGGGCTATGTATATATGTTCAGCTTAAGTATTCAACCTTAAGCATATACTTTGGTATAGTCAATTTCAGTGCCTCTATCAGAGTCACCTATATATATATATATAATTTATATGTATTGTTCAATATATTCATAATGTAATTCCCCTTTAATGGCTTTATATAACCTATGGTTTTCTTTATACAGGAAACATCCTAAATCTAAGCCTTCATGAAGTTCCGTAGGGGGATATTACAGTATATCTATACAAAATCACTAATTATAAATCCAAAGTATTCTGTTACCCACCTCCGTTCCGTGGGATGCTACAAGCAAAGAGCATGAGTCGGGATAAGGAAAATATGTAAATTTTAGAGTAAAATTGATATTTTATACTTATCCTGACTCATGATAGCTTCCTCCATCCTCCCCACATAACACTTTGGATTTCCCTGTAAATTCAAGTGTTGGGCTCGCTAAATCAGGAGAGAGTGGAGCACATGGCCAGAGGGTGGCGACACCTTTCCCGCCAGTGGAAACAAAGGGGAGCAACTCGTGGTGAGTACCAATTAGTGATTTTATTTTGGAGGGGGCTTCAAATAAGGAGATACAAGTGTTCCACTATGTTCGCAAGAAGAAGAAGACAAGCAAAAGAGCATGAGTCAGGATAAGTATAAAATATCAATTTTACTCTAAAAATTACATATTTTTACTCAACTCACTCACTTTGTTTCAGGTTGAACAAATTCTACGAGTGGAGATGTCATCAATACAGAAGCAGTACTACAAGTGAGCAAAACCTGCACCAGGTGTCGTAAAATTCACCTTCCGTATATTTTGACTTGAAAGGAAATCTGACATTGCTGAAAAGTTTTGTTAAAAATGCAAGAAAAGTTGGCACATGTTTATTTGAGTGAATATTTCCATTTTTTGACTGCATTTGTAACATTTCATTCTGTTTTCAGGTGGATTTTGACGAAAAACTATCGAGCACTAAGCAGAGGCCTGAAAGGCAATGTTAGCAGTTTTGTAAACATCATTATGGAGTTAAAAAAGTGCTGCAATCATGCTGAATTGACACGCCCACCAGAGGGTGAGGACTTCCAAGACAGGTTGATAGTGAGTAGTTCAAACATCAACAATATTGCAAAAAACATATTTACCTATAAATATATTAAGTCCGCTATAAGTCCCATAGTAACATGCATTATATAATTCATGCCTATTTGTTTGTATACTACTTAACGATTACTAAGAATCACATATTTGCCTTTAGTTGACTGTTTTTATTATCCCCCGCCGCTCGTTTACCGCGAAGCGGGGGTATAATATTAGGCTCCGTCCGTCCGTACGTACATACGAAGTGGAATATCTTAAGAACCGTTGACTAGACTCTTTTCATATTTGGTACCTAGCTTCATCACAGTATAAGAAAGGTCCAAGTCAGGTTTGGTGACCTTGACCTTCATTTCAAGGTCACAAGGGGATTTTAACGTTTTACCTGCATGTTAAGCTGTCTCAAGAACCGTTCACTGGATTTTCTTCATATTCAATACCAATGTTTATCTAGGGAAGGCACAGGGCCAAGATGATTTTAGTGACCTTCACACAATTTTCAAGGTCATGGCGACACTGAAAATTTCAGCATGTTAACCTGCATGTTAAGCTATCTCAAGAACCGTTCCCTGGATTTTCTTCATTTTCAACACCAAGCTTTATCTAGGGAAGGCCCAGTAAATTTTGGTGACCTTCACATAATTTTCAAGGTCATGGCGACACTTTGAAGATTTCAGCATGTTAACCTGAATTGTCAGCAAGATATTTCAAGAACGGTTCACTGGATTTTCTTCATAGACTTTCAAGACTTCCCTTGAATGTTTTCCAATAAGCAATTTCTTTAGTACTATTTTTGCCTATTTCATACACTATGACATTCATGTCAAGGTCAAAGTCAGTCTTGAAAATATGTGTGTGTTTGAACAACTAACGAGCAAGATATCAAAAGAGGTTGACATTTAACTTAAACTTTCATTACTTTATAAGTTTGATTTGATAATTTGCGGCAGGGGATTACATAACCTTAGTGACAATGCTTGTTGATTGTTAAGTTGTGTAAATGATTTGAAATGAATACCATGACTTGCATTTACGAATTATAATTGTTTGACTGCAGAGATTGTTGCGAGGGAGTGGTAAGATGCTGCTGCTCGACAAGCTGTTGACACGACTAAAGGAAACAGGGCATCGGGTACTGATATTTTCCCAGATGGTCCGGATGTTGGACATCATTGCAGAGTACCTTCAGTACAAGCGCTTTCATTATCAGGTATGTCTTCTATCAAGAGAGACTTGCTTCACATGGCTCTTTTGTTAAGCTGATAATAAACAGTCGTGTTCTTTGGAGGTGTTTATTTGAGATAGGGAAACTTTGAAATTTTGATATGTTTTTCAGAGACTAGATGGGTCTATACGTGGTGAACTCAGGAAACAAGCCATGGACCACTTTAATGCAGAAGGCTCTCAGGTAAGGAGGGAGTACCTCAACCATGCAGTAACTATACCCACTCAACTGTACACTTGAAATGTAAAACAATACTTTAGCAAATTGTTTAGAAATCTCAGAACTTATGTATGCTTATGAGATAACAACTGGGCTTTGTTCCAGGATTTCTGTTTCCTGTTGTCAACACGAGCAGGAGGGCTTGGTGTGAACCTAGCAACAGCTGATACTGTGATCATCTTTGACAGCGACTGGAACCCACAGAATGACCTGCAAGCACAGGCTCGAGCCCACAGAATAGGCCAGAAGAACCAGGTGAGGGAGTGCAGTATGCCTAGCATTCATTGTCTATGTAATGACGACAGAAATAGTTTGAAACCCTATTTCCCTTTTGTGTGACATGAAAATGGTGGAAGTAGCTTAATGGTTAGTCATCTTGGTAATTCCATGTGTGTGTAGCTGTGAGGTAGCTGTGTAGTTCTCGTTCCAGGATCTCAGATTTGATGATCGTGATATTTGTGTATCAACTTATTAGTCTAGTTTCACCTATGTAGTAGACATACAATGTACCTGCATGACTTTTGTTGTCCAACACACACTAATCCATCCAAAGTAGTATTGGAGTGTAATGTAAAAGCAAACTCACAAAATGGCTTGTGTGTTGTTACTTTCAGGTGAGTGTGTATCGCCTGGTCAACAAGAACAGTGTGGAAGAGACCATTGTGGAGCGTGCCAAGAAGAAGATGGTCCTTGATCATCTTGTCATCCAGAGGATGGACACCACTGGCCGAACTGTGCTCAACAAAGGGGCTGCACCATCTAGGTAGGTCCACAAGGCTGCAACATCTGCTCAACTTAGATTGATTTTATGTCTTTCATATTGAGAATCTTGAGAGATTCCAGCTGTTCACATTTACTCAGACTAATATATGTATAGTCTAGGTTCAAGGGTTATCAATTTAAAGAAACTGCCCGTGAAGTTATCGTAAGAATTGTCTTCAAGAAACCATACTGTTGTAAGAATAAAGCCTCAACTGTTGGGGTAGGGTCAAACTTGCTGTCCTGCTTGATTCAAGTCATTGTTGTCTAGATCAATAATCATGATGCCAATCACTAGATTGTCTGGTCCTGACTGATTACTATCTTATTGGAATAGTGCAGAGTGCTTCATGAAACTTCAAACAAAAACAAAACTTTCTTGGAAGCAAGTCTCTTGTCATGATGGTTCTGTTTAGTTGCAGTAATTCTACACCATTCAACAAAGAAGAACTGGCAGCCATATTGAAGTTTGGTGCTGAGGAGTTGTTCAAGGAAATGGATGAAGATGAGGAGGAACCTCAGGTACATACGCATGGATGTCAGTCCAAACAGAGCAACTTTAGCTCAAATCCTGAAAGATTAATGTAATGGAATGTAGTCAATTGAGTTAAATAATCAAAAGATTGTAGAATTTCGATGCTGACAGTTTATGCTAATATGAATCATGGTAATGTGCTGCGATTTTCCTGACAGCATTAAACAACATTCATACTCCAACTACATAAACTGTTGAAGAGTCTTGTATGACGATTTAATTCAGAAGCATGAATCCCAGGACAGCATGGACAGTTGCGTTGTCTTACTCGTCCTTAAGGAAGGTTCAAGTTTTTTGCCACTTCAGCAGTTGTCACAATGATCTTGTTGATTGCAGGTGGACATTGATGACATCCTCAACCGAGCTGAGACACATGAGACTGACACATCATGTGTAGGCGATGAACTCCTCTCGCAGTTCAAGGTGGTCTCTTTTGAAACAATGGAAGAAGAACAACAAACAGATGACCCAGGTGATCATGATATCCAGACACCAGTGTCAATAGTAATTCTTCCTGTCTGTTGTTCTGTTGGCAATCTATTATTCGCACAACACGTGAAGATCCGGTTTCAGTAACCCATGCTTGTCGTAAGAGGCGACTAATGGGATCGGGTGGTCACGCTTGCTGACTTGGTTGACACATGTCATCGTATCCCAATTGCGTAGATCAATGATCTTGCTGTTGATCACTGGATTGTCTGGTCCAGACTTGATTATTTTCAGACCGCTGACATATAGCTGGAATGTTGCTGAGTGAGGCGTTAAACAACAAACCAAACAACTTATTATACGTACCATACATGTAATAAAGATTGACTTGAGACTAATCGCATCCCATAATAATGGCAGTTACTAAGAGAAGTCCACACAATACATAATATAGAACGAGATATAAGGTGATCATGTGATCGCTTGTTTTAACCACAGATTTGTCCTGATCTATGATCTTAGCTGTACCATGCATGTGTTTTTACCAACTGATAAATGTTAGACATTTGTCACTATGGACTTCCACATTTGCTAGCCATCTGACTGACATACTGTGTAAAGTAAAGTTAACTCCCAACTCCGTTAATTAAGACAACGGTCCTCAGTTTGCCAGTACCACAGTGGCCTTTTCCTTATGGTAAAGAACATCTGTAACCATCATCACTTTGGACTTTCCTCCCATCTTCTAACTCATTCTCCATTATGAGACATACAATACTACAGGAGGTACTCCCACATACATCTGACACACCTTGATGTTGCTGAATACTGGACAAATCAGCTCAGTCACCATTATATAACTGATGTACTACAACAACCTGCACTTGCTCTCCATGACATGCAGTTTATGGTTGGTATGTTCCTGTTCGCAGGTCGGGTGTGGGACAACATCATCCCGGAGAAGGACCGGAAGAAGGTGGAGGAGGAGGAGAGGCAGCAGCAACTGCTGGAGCTGCATCTACCACCACGAAGTCGCAAAACTATACAGCAGGTCAGTAGGCTACAGACAGTAGATAGACACTTGCCCACAGTAGTCTTGGAATAAAGGTGTTATAAGGGATAAGTTTAAGTTGAAATTGGTAATGTTGAAATATTCAAAATTGGTTTAAAGTCACATTTCTGTCATTATGTTTGTTCGTAAAGGCAAACACTATGTTTTCCTTTCTTGTACTCGTTGGAATTACACCGTAAGTGTAAAATATATTCACACCTAAGAATGTCAACATTTTACCAGCTGTAAACTACCTTGGTTTAGACAGATTGACACAATCTAAAAGGCTCATAAAAAATTCTATCCTGTTAGGATAGCCAGGAACATTTGCAATAGGATAAGTATTATAAATGGTACATCAAGTCATTCCCATCCCTGTTACAGCTGCAGATGGAGTATGATTCTGATGGAGAGAAGAAAAAACGAAAGAAGCGTGAGGTAGAGGAATCTGAGGGCAGCGATGAGGAGGAGGATGAAGACAAACCCAGAAGGAGAGGGAGACCTCGCACTGTCAACAAGGATGCCGTGAAGGGATTTACTGATGCAGAAATTAGAAGATTTGTTAAAAGCTTTAAAAAGTTTGGAGATCCCCTAACAAGGTAAAAAGAGAAATTGTTAGAAATTTGTACTTTACTCTTTGATGCTGCGTCGCTTTTAAAGAATGTGCCACAGTGTCACAATCTTGTATAAATTAGAGATGTGGGTGATTGTTGGTAATGTGTCATTGGTTTTGGATAAGTGGTCTGATTAGTAAACGTATTATGCTATGTTTCTATCTATTTCTCATCACATTGTCTCATTATCTCTCTCTTCAGGCTGGATGCCATTGCCTGTGATGGAGAATTGCAAGAAAAATCTGAGTCTGACTTAAAGCGTTTGGCCGAAATGTTGATCAAGCACTGCAGTGAGACCATAGAGGAGAGCAAGAACAAGCAGGCTGAGGAGACACAACCTGAAGGTAAGGCTTGGAGACAGGCATCTCGGACAATTATTGCTTTGTTTTCATCTCTATTCTACATCAAGAAGCAGTAGACAACTGATATTCGGTTTGTGTTGGGTTGTTTTCCATATGAATGTAGTGCATAGTCAGTGAACAAAAGTCCAATGAAGACTGGTGTTGCAGGTGGGAAGAAGGCTCACAGTCGTGGACCAACGTTCAAGTTGTCCGGAGTGATGGTCAACTGCAACTCACTGGTCAAGGCTCAGCAGGAGTTGGAGCCACTGGCTAAGGAAATACCTGCTGACAAGGCAGAGAGGAACAGGTAAGCTCAAACTTTGGACTCGCTTAATGAACAAAACACGCAAAATACACTATATTATGAAGTATAGTCTAAAAACTATGGTAGAATTTGCTCGCCTGTTGTCAATTAGCTTAGCTGAATAGTAATATGGAATGAAATAAGTTCACATGTAACTACTCTTTCGGAAGCTGATGTAGGCTGCTATCAGTCTCAACACCGCTGTCTCAACAAATGCTGACACTCTCAACACCGACGTGTTCCTTTGTTGCAGGTATCAAATGGATATGTATGTGAAGAAAGTGCACTGGGACTGCCTGTGGGACATTGAGGATGACTCCAACCTGTTGAAGGGTGTCTATGAATACGGCATGGGCAGCTGGGAGGCCATCAAGATGGACCCTGAACTATCCCTCCACCAAAAGGTATGCAACAGATGCACTGAGGACATTGGGTACAGAAAGAAGGTGTAGCTATCAGACTGGCATTTCATTTGTACTGGAGAACTTTTTTCTGAAACATCTGTAAGTTGCATTTAATTGGAGCCTTTGGTATCATTGGAGTTGCCAGATTGAAGAGGTTATGGCACTCATTTCAAAATGTAACACTGACAGAATATAGAAGTAAAAAATACAGGTCAAGTTTATTCTTACTTCCTGCCAAATCACACGACTCCATTGATGATTGCCTCTGTGGTTCACTGAATAGTGCATCTGCCTGTAGAGCTCAAGGTCAGTGGTTTAATCCCAAGCTGTACTGGACTAAAAGACATTGAAAGATGGTACTTGTTGTTACTCAGCCCGCTGCTCATCACGGGATGGGGGATTCGTTGGGGATAAAGCAAGGACTAGACTGTGCTCAGATGTCTGATTTACGTATCCATGTAGCATAGCATCACATTGGGCTAGTGCTACCAACCTGGCATTAGTCCAACCTAGCACAAGCCCAGACATGCACACAACTCATGAAAACCTGGTACTATTGTACTGCTTGGAGCATGAACCAAGTGTATGGGGGCTAGTGCATTAAAATTACAGGATGTTCTGGCAGTATTTCTGGAATTCGTGTGGGTTGTCGATTGTGTGGCTAAAAGGTGTTTATTTATTGATGTTCGTTGCAGATTCTTCCTGGTGAAGACATGAAACCACAGGGCAAGCACCTGCAGACCAGAGTGGAGTACCTGCTGAAGATACTGAAGAAGAAGACGGAGAAGAACAATGTTGTGGTAAGAGTGGCAACATTTATATTATCGTTGAGAAAGGGTTATTTGGTCCAAGGAAAATCTCTTCCATGGTTCAAGAGTAATCATTGAAATTCTGTGTGTACTATTTTGTATTTACGGAAGTTCTTCTTGTACTATTTTGTATTTATGGCAGTTAGTGTATAAAAAATATTCTTAAATTTTTCCTTATCCTGACTCATGCTAAATGCTTGTCTCCTCCTTCTTGCGAATGATAGTGGAACACTTGAAATCCCTTGAAGTTCCCTTCTAAAAAGCGGACGTAAAATCATCCCTCATCATCCCTCCCTTCAGTCACATGACCAGCCATGTTTGTCACTCTCTCCTTCTTCGCCCAAGCGGATGGTTGGGCGAGCACTGGAGTCCCATATACGGCACCATATCCTTAAATAGTTAGATCATATATCCAATTTAAATTGTGTATGGTTTTGGGGTTATATTTAGTTTTCATCGTGTGTCAAACCTTTCATCAAATTATTCATATTTTGTTACATTTGATGAATCTTGCAGTGTTACAGGTACCGGCTATCAGTGACTGATCCTCACCTCCAATGCCCGTCATGCATTAACCCATTCAACACCGCAGGCCGCTTAAGTGGCCACAACGTTATGAGTCCCCAGACACCGGAGGCCGATTAAGTGGCCAGGCAGTAGTCACGTCAAAATGAGACATAATTTTAGGAACCTACCTGACTTATGATTCATATATTAAATCTATCACATTTCACAATGTCTGAAAACACTTATTAAATTTCAATTTATCATATATTATCATCAGAATTAAAATTATAAACTATTTTTCGCGGTAATATTATTGAAAACAACGATTCTCGGACACATGCTTCGGCAGCGGGTCCACAATAACATTGTCAAAGAGCAAAGTAACGATGTTTCGAGGAATTCATTAAATAAATTGAATAAACTAATGCATAAAATCAACAACATTCATAAAAGTTGTCAAACGTACATATAAAATTACTACATGTATTTCCATCTTTTTGTGCAATCATGAAATGTAAGTCAAGTCACTGACAAGTGACATCTCGGCTCTCGCCGCCTCAATCTTCACGCTCGCACACGATGTTTAATGCGAAAATATATACTTGAAGCATTATTGTCACAGGTCATAACCTAGCACGATACGTCCAATAAGTTCCATAATTTACGTATAGGTAGCGATTTCTTGCTTAATATGTTCAGAATAGCATTATTTTACCCAAAACTTTTGTCCAAATCTAAAAGTTTTCGTTTACGAGGACGGTATCCATTGCCGTAATATGATTGGCTGCCTTAGGTCACGTGTCTGATTTTGACCAATCACGACCCTTAAAGCAGACTGTGGCGAAAAAGCGTCATTAGAAACCAATTTTTATCCAATAAAATCGCTTCTTACAACTGTGAAAATACTCTTGGCAAGGGTACAGTGATATTGTTTATGTTCAGAGCTTTTGAACGATGCCCGATATCAAACGATTCGCCTTGCATGTTATTCATACGAAGCTTCGAAAACGGAGGTATTTTCCGTTGTTATGTCATGTTACCGAGCGGAAAGCCACAGATATCGGGAAATAGGCGACCATGCATATTATTTAAGAAATCTTTTTATAATAATTTTCTGATGACGTTAAAATGAAAATATAAAAGAAAAAGCCACGGGCATGTTATGACATGTCACAAATGGAAAAAAATCGCCATAGTTTTTGCTTCTTTCGTTGATTATCTGGACGTTATAAATGTAAGCTTGCATTTTCTTTCAAAAATACATTTATTTAAGTTGTAGTTGTATTATTTGAATAATATTATAAAAATAAACTTCATATTTATCAACAGTAGGATTAGATCTTTTAAATGGTGTATGGGATGTAGTAGCAATAACATTTTACAAGCTTATAATTTCCTTCATAAACATAGGCTTCATCTATGACCTCAGGGTCTCTGGGAACTCGGTGTCATGGCAGTAAATGCCTCTGGTTGACTGGTGTTGAAAGAGTTAATACATGTTCTTCCAGCTTACGTTACAGATACTGTGTTAATTTATCAGATTTGCAATAATCAATATTTATCTTACATCTATAGACGTACTATGGACCAGGTGAGGAAGTCATCTCAAGTCACAGTTGATAAACCAGAGATAATGCCGGTAACCATGTGTTGTCTTCTACTGCATAAATACATAATTTGCGAGCATATGTTGCAGGGGCAGTCGGTCTGCTGTTGTTCTTGATTTAACTGCTGCTAAGAAGAGGTCTAACTCGTCGGAGACGTCGTCATCACAGTCTAAGAAGATGTCCTCATCGGCCTCGAAGCAGATGTCATCTGCATCCAGACCTTCAGTGAAGTCGTCTCGTTCCGGTAAAACATCTCATCAGAGATTGTTTAATGAAGACATCGTGCCGCCTGCCGAAGCAGACGTTTTTGTTTGCTGACCCGCCGATACTTCTACCTGAAGTACCTCTCAGATCGGCTATAAGAGCGACGCAGTCGACCTCCACGACGACTAGGTCATCTCCTACAACTACAGCAGCTGCTCAGCTGTCCGATGACCAGCCTCCAACAACGCAGACATCAGTCATCAGCGAAATAGACGTAGACAACACCTCAGCGTTCGTGAACACTTCGTTCACGCCACACCAGTTCCAGCCTACAACGCAGAACTTCGACCTGGGCGATTTAGGAGGCAGTTTACAACGCAGATGATGGCCTTGATGGAGCGTTGGTTCGCTGAAGAAGCAGCAGTTCGGCAGAACCCTACGATGGCAGTCAACATTCGCAAAACCTCCGACCTGCGCAAACCTGAGGCAGCTACACCCTAGAGGGTTACTACTGCAGATGAGGTTCGCAAACAGCCAGGTTTGCGAAGATCTTCACACACAGAAGACTCCGGACGTGTATGATGATCCCCCCCATCCTCATACCTGATGTCACAGTCGTCAGCTAGAAGACGAAGCCTGCTTTAACAGCTACATCGGCAACTATATCAGCGCAGACATCGGGTACCAGAGATAGCAGCAGTGTCAACTCTTCACAAGTGCAGCATACTTAGAAGAGGCCTCAACGTTCTCAGAAGCATCATCAACCTTGCAGCAGTCTCAATTTACATTGCAGAACTTCAACCAGGAGCTGTTTATGCAACAGTTACAGATCAGATGATGTCGATGATGGAACGTCGCTTTGCGCAGCAGAAAGTTGCTGCAAACCTGCCTGAAGGTTGAGCAGCCTCTCCAACGCACCTGGATGAAGAGGAAAGCCTGCGCGAAGGCCCACATCTCACAGTGGGGAGATTACGTCAATCATCTTTTGCGACCTAGAGAGATATCTCAAGACTTCAGGAGGAATACATGGTCACTCCGGGACTGTTCACCTGCACGCAGATCTACGTACAGATCTACATACAGAGACTCACGTCATTATGGATCCTCAGATAGGGAAATGTCAAGTCAATGTCATCCTCAAGTGGCGGAATACCTGTGTCATTTGCGACAGACGAGACACTTAAAAGGTTCAACACTATCAACATACCTGGCTGCTCTTAGCACAGTTATCACTATGAAGACGGGTGTCAAGTTGACCAAAGTACCAGAGATACTGGCATTACTACGCTCGTTCAAGTTGGAAGACCAACAAAAGAAATTCAAGGCTCCTGCATGGGATCTGAATGTAGTACTACAACATCTCACCAGTGAAGCCTACGAGCCTCTACAACGGACATCCTTTGAACTACTGACACAGAAAACGGTGTTCCTGATCGCCCTAGCAACAGCAGCACGGATGTCAGAAAATACATGCTCTGGACTTTGAAAGAACACTATTTGAATCAACACATCGTAACATCGTACGTCTGAGACTGAGATGGGATTTCAGACAGACAGTTCCACATCCCAGCACTTTCTACAGTCCTTGGGCCACAGGATATGTAGGATCTATCCTTATGCCCTGTCAGAGCATTGAAAGTCTACCTAGAAAGGACAAAGACTAGGAGACGAAAATTCAAGCGCCTTTTCATCCCCTTATCCACCGAGATGCCCACGGAAGTCTCACGGACAACTATATCAGTATGGATGAGAGCCGTCATACTAAGGGCCTACAAAGCAGCAGGACTTGAGCCTCCACGAGCCTCCAATCCACACGAAGTCAGAGCCCTGACGTCCACACTCGCTCTGCACGGAAACTGCTCGTTATCATCTATAATGGATATTAGCACAACAACTAACGGTTCCACAAAGGCGCTGAGAAGGATCTCACCCTTTATCACGTGACTTGTAAAAAACCAACACTCTGGAGAGTAAATGGTTGAAAGTCCATGCGCATGTCTAGGACAGATTAGCATGAGTGATTAGACCCTGTACTTGTATAGGAATTACTCGTACATGAAGAAGGGTCGCATCTCCACTTGATGCACGCATCAAGAAATGGAGTTGCAATAGATAACTAATGGAACATTGACGTAAAACATCAGCCAGGAAATCCAGGAAGTGGCCTGACCCACCACCGATTCAGACGGATTCTGCAAGCATTTAGCATTAGTCAGGATAAGGAAAAATATGTGATTTTCTGATTAAAATTGATATTTTATACTTATCCTGACTCATGAGGTCAGTCCTCCCAACCTCCCTTCTCAGGGCACTCTAGATTTTCCTGTAAATCCGGGTGTCGGGCGTATAATCAGAGAGAGTGACAAACATGGCAGGTCACATGACTAAAAAGGGCGCCAAAGGAGGCAAGGGAGACTACCCGTGGGTGAGGGATGATTTTACGTCCACTTTTTAGAAGGGAACTTCAAGGGATTTCAAGTGTTCCACTATCATTCGCAAGAGGAAGGAGACAAGCATTTAGCATGAGTCAGGATAAGTATAAAAATATCAATTTTACTTAAAAAATTACATTTTTGATTAGAAAATTACATTTTTCTTCTCTTCCAACCTTTTGAATGGGTAAAAGTTAGGTTTGTTCAGGTTTTTGTAGAAATTTTATTCATTCAACTCATTGTAGGCTGAAGAACTAAAAATGTATTGTACAGTAGAAATAAGAAAACAAATTTCTGATTCCAGCCAACAAAAGCAAAAACAAAAGCATCCAAACGTCAACGAAAACCAAAGTCAAAACCTGAAATCATAGAGAATGACTTCAGTAGCTCTGATGAGAATTCCACGAAGGTGTCTGTGAAAGCTGTGAAGGAGGAGATAAATGACAGCTGCCCAGCAAGTCCCAGGAAGACCCACAAGAGTTCTGAGGAGAAGGAGGTGAAGCAGGAGGCTGAGGGGGATGTCAAGAACGAGGAGGAAGATGATGATGAAGTCGAAGAGGGGGAGATTAAGAAGAAGAAAAAAGTCAAGAAAGAGAAAAAAGAAAAGAAGGAGAAAAAGGAAAAAAAGAAAAAAGATAAAGATAAGGAGAACTTGGATCGACATGAACGAGAGAAGTCTGAGGACAAGAAAGAAGAGAAGAAGAGTAAGAATAAGAAGGTAACGATAAAGGCAAAATGTGGGAGGCATGAATTGTGCTTGTCATTGATGGCTTTATGTCTTGTTGCATGTTCTGTACTTTATATATGTAATATGTTATATAAATTATACTTCTCTATCATAAAAATGAGAGACCTAAAGTGCCTAATTTTACACAAGCATCTGGTTGTTTTTATCACTCATTTGTGAGATGAACTTTCAAAAGTGTCAGTTCAGATATTTTGCTCATTGGTCTGAAAGTCAAGTGTGAGTTGTTAGTCTTCATTACTGTTGAAAGCAACATAATTAAGTAGCAGTGTTGACAGCGATTGCTTCAGTATTTGTATTTGTTGACATATTACGCTGTTATTCTTATTTGAAAAGAACCCTGTATACTAAGGAAAACTTTGTACTGTAACTGCTGTGTTTGCTGTTAGCAGAAGAACAAGGATGGGGCTGGTCCCATGCACTTCACTGCCAACTCAGAACCTATCTCTGTCTCACAAGATGAGTCTGGCCTGGAGCTCACAAAGGAAATCTTTGCTCAGGTTCTGTATTTCACACTGAGAATATCACGGTCCCAGGAGACATATTTCCTGTGTGACATCACCTATTCCATATGCTGCATAGTTTGAAATGGACAGCAGTACAGCTGGTTATCAGAAAGAACTTGTGCCTCATGATTGTTGCCTTTATTTGAGTAGTAAAGAAAATAGGTTAATGAAGACTGAGCATGATTAATAACTGAGCATGATGAAGAAATGGCACAATAAAGTCAATACAGTGAGGCAAACTTATTACCTGCGGTCTTGTCCTCTGTGTTTTCAGTGTAAGGAGAAGATGCGCCCGGTGAAGCGAGCTCTGAAGGAGTTGGACAACCCAGAGGAAGGCTTGTCAGAGAAGGAGCAGATCATGCATATGCGACAGTGCTTGCTGAAGATTGGGGACCAGATCAGCAAGTGTCTCGTCAACATGAGCAACCCAGAGATCATCAAGCAGTGGAGAAAGTAAGTGTTGTCTAGTCCAGTGTGCTTCAATACTGAACAAGATCTGACATATATAAGATTTCTGTGCTCTTTCAACATGTTTGCACATAAAATGTAACTCCATTCTCAAACATGACTTTTTTCAGCAACCTCTGGATTTTTGTGTCAAAGTTCACTGAGCTGGACCCCATCAAACTGCACAAACTTTACAAACATGCTGTCAAGAAGCGAGATGACAACAAGGACTCTGAGCCTGCAACAGAAGAAGTGAGTCCTGCATATTGTTTATGGTGTAACGTTTTGCCTCATTGTGCCGTGATGGTTATCCATTCATCTGGCGTCAGTGACACACCAGCAAGGGAGGGAGAGCATTTCATATGGGATTTTGTGGTACACATTGAAATGTCTTAAGTTTCATTATGCTTGTTTGGGTCTCTTAATGTGAAGACAGCAAGTATGATGCTGTGAGTATTTGTATGCTTTGTTCGGTTTCGATCTGGGATGAGACCAACTTTTCATTCAGTATGAAATTAGGTGTCATTGTGATGTTGGATATCGTCATTGTATAGCGATGACTAGATCTGCATGTGATGTATTCCAGTTCCACCCAGAGAGTTCCAACTCCAATCTGTCTCAGTCATCTCTCGGAAGCAGCCACAAGACCAGCTCCAAGCGGCCCTTTGAGAAGCTTGGGGATTCGGGGAAAGAGAGATCAACCTCCTTCTAAAAAGTCCCATAGTTCAGAACAAAAAGACCGGAATAAAGACAGGTAATCAGAATTGTGCAGAGTTAAACATAGTCAAATAAAGTTCTTTCAGATTGCTGTTGGTGGCAGTTTTGGAATACTTGATGTATTAATGCAAGCTCTTATTTATAGGAGCCCTACTGTGAGATACTTTACTTAGCAAACTATGGTCTGCTGTCAAGCAATATTCCCACCCCACCCTGAGTTAAACTCCGCAGAGTTCCACATTCTCTATGACTGTCTTTATATTGACAGCTTTGTACATAATGGCCCGAAGCATGGCAGCAGCAGTAGTTCCAGTCACACGTCATCATTCCGCAATACTTTCAGCAGTGTGAAGGAGTCCTCGCGTGTAGAGAGTGGCAACTCAAGTCCCGCTGACAGGTGGCAGCATGCTAGTCCTTTAGCTCGAGCAGAGGATGTCCCCAGAAACAGGTGAGTCTGGACATGTTGTCTGTCTACCTGTTTCACTCAAGCAAGTTTAGATAAGGACCAGCTGTCCTGGGATGGAGTAATCAGGCTTGCTAACTAGATTGATGCTTGCCATTGTATCCCAGTTAATCAATTAAGCAATCAGTTCTCATTATATCAATCACTGGATTATCTTGTCCACACAGCTGGTAACGACATTAGGCCGAAACTGTCCACCGATGACTCTCCAGTCGATTTTGCTTTTCATGTTCATTGGTTATTTGTTAACCTTGGCTGAAACATTTCTTTGGCTGTTGAGGAAAGCGTTGAGGGGCTTACATGATCACCTGTGGACTGCTTATAACATATCTCTGACCCCCAGTATACTGGAGAGCATATGTCATTGTATGTAATGAGTAGAAGTTAAGTCACGTTTGTTCAAATCTACACTGTTTGCACTTAACATCTTTGTCGTAAACACTGTTACAAAATGTTTCTTTCTCCCAGTAGGTTGTGCACCAATTCTTCCATAATGCACCATATATTTCTGTTCCAAAATAATTATTGTTTATAACTTACTTTGTCGTTTTTAGCTGCAGATCCATATGGCATCATTTTTTGAATATTTCAGTGTGTTTTGAAAAATTAAAGTGTTACATTTGGAGTGTTTTTATAAAGAATAGCACCTGCAGTGTTAATGATGGTATGATTAAGGACATCTGGGGTTGGATATTAGCTTTTGTTTCTTATTGCCACTTTATAAGTTGACTTTCACAATTACATGATTTATGACAGGTACAGTGAAGGCAGCTCGAGTTCATACAATCGTTATAATGAACCTCATCGTCCGCATCCCAGCAATGACAGTAAACAAGATGCATATCACAGGTAACATCCTCAGTTGTCAAGTTTACAAGTGATACAATGGTCAAAACAAGTTGAAGAACACCCACAATGGGAAGTCAGTCTCTGTGTGCAATACCCACCAGAAATGAGAGATTAAGTTTAGTCTAATGAAAAAATTGTATGTTCTTATACTGAACAATAACAGTTGGTAGTTATACAGAGCTCCACATAAGCTGTTTATTTGCGTATAATACGCTATAGAAAAGTTGAAATACACAAGAAAAATAAATGTCAGCGTATGAAAAAACACTAAATATTTACATTTACGCGATGTCGAAATAATGCGTATTTACCCAAAACATCAAAATCATGTTGCGTATCATATCAATTCAAGCCAATCGAACTTAAAGTATTTCCATCTCCAAATATTCGCGATTAAAAGAATGCGATAAAAATGTGCAATGCAGATAGAATACCAATCATGGTTTATTAACCCTTCACTGATTGTCCCATCCATAAACTGTGACCAATCAAATAGCTCTACATGTCCTGTAAACAAATCAATAATGGCAAGTAAGCCTGGTCGAAAGCTTCCACACGCTCAAAGGAAAATATCTAGTTTTTTTACACTTTACAAACAGAAACATCTTCATTAGAGGACTGCTAGATAAATTAATAGGCAAGTACTGTTTCACAATCAGAATCACTTGTCGGTGATATTTTAAATTATCTTATAACATTAGCTATTCGTAGCGTGGAAGTGAAACAACACATGGGAACAAGGTTTTGAAAAAAACTGTTAGTGTGAAGACATTGTGGTTATATCATCTTAAAACTTCTTGGTATCTTGTTTTAAGACTGAAGATTTAGACTAAGGCACATATTATTTCTTACAGCACAAGTGGATAAAACTGTATAAGCGTAATGCTATAATTTAGCATTATTAGTTATTCATCTGTCGCCCGTGAAGGTCTGGGTTAGAATATTCATCTTCAGTAACCCATGCTTCTCGTAAGAGGTGACTAACGGGATCGGGTGGTCAGGCTCGCTGACTTGGTTGACACATGTCATCGGTTCCCAATTGCGCGGATCGATGCTCATGCTGTTGATCACTGGCTTGTCTGGTCCAGACTCGATTATTTACAGACCGTCGCCATATAGCTGGAATATTGCTGAGTGCGGCATAAAACTCAGCTCACTCACTATTCATCTGTCCTGGAGGATTTTGTCTTGTCTCTATTATTATTATACTTATTTGAAATGAATATCCGGATTTAAAAAAGATGGTGGGTATCTGAAAGTATAGCTACCACTTGAAATTGGAAATACCCGCTTAGTTTCAAAAGTATGGGTATCATACCCACATGGCCATAAGCTTATCTGGAGCTCTGGTTATATCTTTGGAGATTGTTTGTTAGTGAAGACCCCTAAATTATCCAGCTAATGTCCTCAAGTGTCAGTGAGTTTCCCTGTTGAGTTTCAGTTGACAACTTCAAATAAAATGTTAATGCATACTGCAGTGTTAAAATACTCAGTCATTTCTTACACATCTTATGGGCAGTGGGTTGCACTGTGGTTAAAGTGTTCGTTCGCCCGTCAAGTCGAAGACCCAGGTTTGATTCCCCACATGGGTATAATGCCCCACATGGGTACAATGCCTGAAGCCCATTTCTGGTGTCCCCTGCCGTGATATTGCTGGAAAATTGCTAAGAGCTGTGTAAAAGCCAACTCACTCATTCTTTTACATCTTGAAACACTGATAAAATGTAACAATGTTCAAAACTGCAATACATCCATGTCACTCTCCACATCCTCGGCAAATGATGGAGGTGAGACATTATTTCCCTATCACAGTAACTGCCTGGTTTACCAAGAGTTTGTGACTTCAGGTACAATAATGACCGGCACTCCAGCAGTGGACGGAGCGGTCATCAAGGGGGATCAGGGTACCATCGTCATGAATGGGGAGCTAGCGCCGGGGGTAGCGGCGATGGTCGCCAGTCCAACTACCGTGCAGACCACCACCGTAATGACCACTATCGTCCAGAGTACGGCCACCACTACAGAGAACATGATAGTCACTATCAGAGACAAGGAGATGACTGGGGGACAAGGTCAGTACAACAGTCACAGCCTGCCAAATTAATTTTTTAAAGACAAGTCCAGAGGAAAAGTGGGAGCCTTATTTCAGTAGTCATCAATGTTTTTAGCTTGTCCGGAGACAAAAAAATGTAATGTTCTATCTTCTATTACTTTTATTCAGTGCTACTGAGTAGCAAAATGTAAGCATTGGGAAGTTGTTCATAGATCTCAAATACTACATACATATCGGTGAGGACCACCATCAGTACTCTTCTTCAGCACAATCGAGTTGTCTTTAAGCTAGCGGACTTGAGTGAATTTTGAAGGCTACTTTTAATATGGCAGGGCTCTTTTATTCTGTTTCTTTATTATATTTTCTATTCACCCAAATGTCTTTTTATGAGTTTGATGAGACTGTTTAGTGTCCTATCACGTTCACAGTGGTTGTCAGAAGCCTTGATGACACTGACTGATAATTGAAACTTATGTTGTTTTATCAAGTTATAAAAAGATTGACAGACTGGTCAGCTAACATTTTGTTAATGTGTGGGCTCAAATGATTGTCCAATATTACATACTCGCTCCAGTAAAATTTACAGTAATATTACTCGTATATAAAAATATATGGGTATTCTTAACTTAAGCACAGGTGTTTACTGTGTATCAAATAGTGTAACACTTAAAATAATGATAGTTTATGTCACTTAATCAATTTTTATAGACATATTGTCTTGTCAAATGAACTGCTCTATTTATTATTAGAGACATTGATTTGTGGCCACCATTGTATACAGAAGCTTACACTTGTAAGAAAGCCCTTGTCAAGACAATTGGGCAATTGTGTATGAAGCAAGCAAGCTTAAAATTGATGTATATAGCTAAATGTGAGTAGTTCCTGCTTTGCGACTTCAATCACAGTTGTGCTGAATCATGATACCACAAGTGTCTGTTATTGCTGGAATATTGCTAAAAGCAGTGTAAAACTAAACACTTGCATTTGTCAGATTGGTTGGTTCAATTTATAACCCAGTTCACTGTGTGACATATGATATGTTGAAAATCATTCATTGATTTGTCTCAGTTTCAACATGAAATTATTCAGTATTATAAGTGCAGAAATTTGCTACTATACAACCGTCGATATATGTTCTCCAATAAGACTTTCAAGGTGTAGGTAGTGGCTAACTTCCACTAGTTGAACCCATGGCTGTTTTATCCTCCAGAGCGGCCTGGTCAATCAACAATCTCTTATTACTAATGAGGTGAGATGTATCAGGTTCACTTTAGTTATACTACTAAGCCTTTTGTTTGTCAACCTTGGAACAAGGTTTTATTCACATGGGATTTTGTGGGTTTGCTTTTATACTTAGGGCTGAAATCAAATGTTTGCATCCAAAAGTTAAGAACCAGTCCCCGCATTCTGTAGTTTCTCATCTGCAGCTTCGACGCATTACTTTATTTGTAACTTCAATGATATTTCATTTGTAACTTGAATCACATTTAAATATTTTCACAATATACTGATGTGTTATTCCCGACTTCTTGCAGCCCTAAGTATGGAAATGTCCTATTTTGGTCTTTGGTTCACTTTGTTTTGTCCAGTGGGTCTGGACTTTGTGTGTATGGCAAAGAATATAGGGGAATGGGTGCTTTTGTTATTGTTGTGACAGTGTCATTAGACTAAATGTATTTAGATTATAGACAAGTCATAAACTCTATTAAATGTCTCTGATCATATAAGCTCAGCTGTAAGTGTTTCAGGACAGTTGCAGGGTTTTTAGTACTGTGAATGAGTATATAGTGCAATATTTAGATTTGTGGAGCAAAATCACTGATGGCTATTGTTTTCAGGAGGGTTTGACCAAATGCAGTTTTCTCAAATGTTTTTCTGTATTTCAGGAAGCGCAAGAGTGATGAGCATTCTGATCGCCGCTCTCACAAAGACCCAAGGCTGGACCAGAACCGTTCTTCCACCTCAGTGCACACTGAATCTAGTCAGTCCAAGCACTGATACTGGCTGTTGCTAGGAGATCTGAATGTGTCTTGTGCCCCATGAGCTCAACATGGTGTTCTAGACATGGTGCTTCCA